TTCATTATTCAGATCAGTAATTTATGTATGAGTGTATCAGGGTCCATTTTGGAAAACAAGCCACTCTAGGTATTTCAATATAGGAAATTTAAAATAGAGAACTGGTTTTACATATATGGGTTGGAGGGCTAAAAATACATAAAAGTAATGTCGAGGCAACTATTAACCACCCCTACAGTTTGAGGAACATATGGAAAGGACAATCAGAAAGAGAAGCATCTGTTGAACTTGGATTTAGGTCGCTAAGGAAGGGGCTGTGCTACTGCTTCTGAAACCAATGCCTCTTTTGGGTAGTACATTTGTGGAATAGTGCTAACAGAATAATATTTCTAGTGTCCCAGGTTGACAGAGCTTAATAAAAAAGCAGCTGGCAAAGGAGGGATTTAGTTTGTGATGTACCTGCCCTATCATCACAGAGCAAATCTGTTGAATAGAGCTGAAAGGAAATTGCATAATTACCAGTGTATCCAGCAATAAAAATGGAATTTTTTTGACATTGGATTCTGTTGTTCATGTGACAGGTATTTGCTCTGCCAACGTCTCCATAAGTGAATAGGGAGCAGGGAGAGATGAAGATGAGTGTTCAGTAAAATCTCTTCTTCGTTTTATAACCTTTTGAAAATGGTACCTGACCTAGAAATTTCAGAGTAATGAGTTGTTACTGATAAATACTGTGGTAAACATAGGTTTTAAACCGTTGGTGTAAATGGAAACTCAAAGCATATTTCCCTTTTGTAATTTTGAAAGTTTAATGGGAAAAGTGATCTCTGCTAGTGTTCCAGATCATTTACAGCTATACAATTGAAAGGACACATAAGGAATACATATGTTTAAATGTGTTCTACAATGTTGCATATTGTGAATTATTTACTTTGACCTTGAATTGCTGTAATGTTATAGTTTTTTCCAGAATGAACACCCTATTTTGGCATATTACATAGATAAGAAGAACAGAAATTTTGAAAATAATTTACTGTCGTGCATTATTTCATTTGTTCTCCTTAATAGCCTGTTAGAAGGTCCAGATTCAAAACTGAACTTTCAAATTCTATCCTATACATAGCTTTTCTGGAAGCTTTCCTGATTTTGTCAGGGACAGATTTAGTTGCTCCCCCCTTTTGTTCATTTGGCATATAGTATATACTTGTGTTAAAGTGCTTTCTGTATTGGCTGCACTAGACTCAAATCTCCAGGGTGGAAACAGTGCTTTATAAAATATGTTCTCAGAATGAGTTCCAGCCTGCAGAAGGGATTCAGTAATTCTTTATCTATAAACTAGCAAATTATTTTCTTTGATTGCAAGGATAAAAAACTGGAATCTGGACTTAAGTTATTTATTGGAATCATGCAGCTTGAACATTAGTAAACTAAACTTAAGGATTTTAAACCTAGAATCCATGTCCTATACTCATGGTATATTATATTGCTTTCCTTTATTTCAGGATGATAGTGAAATCTGCCACAGGTTGGCCTTTTTTCTCCTTATTTCAAAATAAGAAAATGTTTAATTCTTCATTTATCACCCCAGTAAATCACTGACATGTGCAACATATATTCTCACCCAATTGGGTGACATACAGAGAATATGTATAAATCAAAAATAAAGAATAATTTTGCTACTTTATTTCTACATTTTCACAAATTCTTTTTAAGTGCTGTTCTTAAGTTTGGTTACAAAATTCTTGTTTTCTAGTATTTGATACTTTTACAGTATTTTTGAATAGTTACAAATATTTTCAAATATTCTTAGGACATTCCTTGTCATAGATAAAAATCAAAATAATTTGGAATCTTGGATTAAAAATGTAATTTTATGTTTTAGTGTATTTAAAGATTTTTTTAATGTTTTTGTTTTAAAGGTATTTCTTGTTCTTGTGCAAGGAACCAGTTTGATTCAGCGACTTATGTCTGTTGCTTATACATATGATAATCTGGCTCCTAGGTATGAAGTTTTTACATGATTTATGTATGTATTTGTAATAAATAGTGTTTCACAGCTTCATTTTGGAAAATTTGAAACTTAACAGAAAATTTATTAGGTATTTTAATGAATTGATACCATTCACTTACATTTGCATTTTGTTTTCAACATTTTGCCAGTTGTTAGCACATTTTAAGTATAAGTGTTCTCTGTATATCTGTGTGTACGCATATATTTACATATTGTCCTGAATCTTGTGAAAGTTTCACACATCATGACTATTTGCCCGTAAATACTTAAATGTGTATTTCCTAATACCAAAGACATTTTCTGAACTAGAGTAAAATATTCACATTTAGAAAATTTAATATTACTAAAATAATATCTCATACATAGTCCATACTCAAATCATCCCATTAATATTCTTTATAAGCAAGTTTTTTGCTGGTCCAAGATGATATACTACATTTAGTTGTCATATTTTTTTCATTTCCTTTATTCTGGAATACTTCAATCAGTTTTTCTTTCATGTTACTGATTTTTTCAGAGTAGCACAAACCAATTCTTTTATAAAGAACCTGTTTTAATTTAGGTTTTCTGATTGTTCTTCACGATTAGATTTAGATTGTACATTTTAGCAGTAATACTCTGTAAGTGATGTGTCTTTCCTAATACACCCTTGTGATGTCAGTTTCTCATTATTAGTGATACTAATTTTGATCCATTTATTTGGTTTCTTCCAGGTTTCTCTGGAAGAAAATAATGTTTCTGATTTTTTCCTTTTTAATTAAAAATAACTTGTGGGAAGATATGTTGAAATTGCTTAAAATTCCTGATCCTCATAAAACTTTCATTCATTGATTTTTTAGCATTCAGTGATGATTCTCACCTGAATTAAATATTAGTATAATGTTTGCAAACTAGTGATTTTTTCTAACTCTTACCACTCCTTTTATGTTTATTGACATCCTATTATAAGGAAGAGCTTTCTCTTTTTCCCTTTTATTTATTTAATTAGTATCAATTTGAATGTGTGGATTTTTTTTTTCATTCAGTATGTTATAATTCATTACTGTTACTACTCACTTTACTCATCATACCTGATCAGTATCTGCTTTATCCCCACTAGACTTAAAGTTCTATATAGACTATATCTGATTTTGCTCATCATTGTATTTCAGTGCTACTCATCTTCATCGTTTATTAAACTTATGAATGGATAATGCAGGGAGACAAAGACAGTGCTATAACATGCCCTTCATTTGTATGATAAGAAGAATTTTACACTCCAACCACCAATTACTCTCCACTTCAGTAATTCTTAACTCTTCCTTCTTGTCCTCTATCACACACTCTATCTCACTGTCCCACACCTTATAATATATTGAATTAACAGGCAATTGAATGACTGTTTTAGTCTGCTTTTAGTTCTTCACAATTAAGAAATAACTCACTTGACTCTGTAAAACTCATAAAATGAAAAAGAAAATATTTCAGGTTTGATACCAGCTTCTGCTATGTAAGTTGGTTCACTCTGTAGCAGTGTTTGTTTTTAGTCTACAGTTCCACTTTTAAAACTAATTACAGTAGTCTTCCCTTTTTCACCCCACATCCCAGTGTTTTCTTGGCTCTGTTTCATGCCATTATCTTTTCATAGACTCCTGCCTTCAGTTCATATTTTACTAGGAGGTTGTTACCAGTCAAGGTTTTTAATTAAAAATAACTTGTGGGAAGATATGTTGAAATTGCTTAAAATTCCTGATCCTCATAAAACTTTCATTCATTGATTTTTTAGCATTCAGTGATGATTCTCACCTGAATTAAATATTAGTATAATGTTTGCAAACTAGTGATTTTTTTCTAACTCTTACCACTCCTTTTATGTTTATTGACATCCTATTATAAGGAAGAGCTTTCTCTTTTTCCCTTTTATTTATTTAATTAGTATCAATTTGAATGTGTGGATTTTTTTTTTCATTCAGTATGTTATAATTCATTACTGTTACTACTCACTTTACTCATCATACCTGATCAGTATCTGCTTTATCCCCACTAGACTTAAAGTTCTATATAGACTATATCTGATTTTGCTCATCATTGTATTTCAGTGCTACTCATCTTCATCGTTTATTAAACTTATGAATGGATAATGCAGGGAGACAAAGACAGTGCTATAACATGCCCTTCATTTGTATGATAAGAAGAATTTTACACTCCAACCACCAATTACTCTCCACTTCAGTAATTCTTAACTCTTCCTTCTTGTCCTCTATCACACACTCTATCTCACTGTCCCACACCTTATAATATATTGAATTAACAGGCAATTGAATGACTGTTTTAGTCTGCTTTTAGTTCTTCACAATTAAGAAATAACTCACTTGACTCTGTAAAACTCATAAAATGAAAAAGAAAATATTTCAGGTTTGATACCAGCTTCTGCTATGTAAGTTGGTTCACTCTGTAGCAGTGTTTGTTTTTAGTCTACAGTTCCACTTTTAAAACTAATTACAGTAGTCTTCCCTTTTTCACCCCACATCCCAGTGTTTTCTTGGCTCTGTTTCATGCCATTATCTTTTCATAGACTCCTGCCTTCAGTTCATATTTTACTAGGAGGTTGTTACCAGTCAAGGGAGCTGGAATGAACTTTTGTTATTAAAAACCTTCTATTGCTATAGATTAAAAGCTAGATAGGTAGTTTGCTCTTGGTAAAGTTAAATATTTTATACCAATTTGATAAAAATTAAATACAAAGTATGGCCAAGTATTTGATTTATAAGTTTATCTCCTTAGAACCTTTAAATCAATATATGGGTGAATCTTGCTTTTTGAGAATTGAAAAGGTTATTTTATTAATTATACAGAGTGAATATGCTAGAAATTGGTTTTTGGTTTTTTATAAACAGTGTATTTATAAGGCAAATAGTAAAACCCTATTTATTGGTTTTGTTAAAATGAAAATTTTAGTATTTAATTTTCTTCAAATTGAGGTCACTAAATTTTCCATTGAAGTTACTAGAATCTGAGGGAGGGAAATACAGAATTAAATTAGTTTTCTCTATATTTTAATAATTTGCTTTTCACCATTCCTGACAGAAATTGGTATTAACAGTATAAAAGGAATGGCATTTTATGTCAGTGTGTGATTTCCTTTTTTAGGAGTCTGAAGTTTACACTCTAAACCATTATAACCTTTCTCTTTGTAATATGTGTCTCTTTAGTCTGAATCATGAGCACTTTCTGAGAGTTCATTTATTTCAATTAGTTTGTATGCACTCAGATTTCATTGAATTGAAGCAGTTATTTGGTGTGGGCTATAAGATTTTACCAGTGATTTTTTAAAATAAAAGATAAAGACCATAGGAGAAGTAAGTAAGGAGCTTTCTTAAAGTCTAGTATTTTTTGGGGGGCATAGTATAAACTTTAAAGGATATGTGGCCGTTTATTTTTAATTGATTGCAGAATTTAATTGATGGTGGTGTGTTTTTACAGAGTTTTGAAAGCTCAGTCTGATCACAGGTCTAGACATGAAGGTAAGGATTCCACAAAGTTATTTTTAATAGATAAAGATTTGAGTAACTAGATACATTTATATATGTAATTTTAGTAACGAGCATGTGTTTTCTTCAGAGCACAAGCCCTTACAGTTTTTGTTTTTTTTGTAATTTTTCTTTAGTTTCACATTATTCAATGTGGCTCTTGGTGAGTTGGGCTCATTGCTGTTCGATAGTGAAATCTAGCCTTGCTGACAGTGATCATTTACAAGACTGGCTAAAGAAATTGACCCTCCTTATTCCTGAGGTAAGGTAAAGATTAAAGATTGTTAGTATTATTATTCATGTTTTTTCATATTATTAGCATTTTGATAATAAAAAGAAAAGCTAATGGAAACAAATGGACATGATTCTATAAATACATCATGTTATCTGGAATGTGCTTATTTAATCCTTTAAGATCTAGAGTGTTTTGGACTATGTACACTTGAGTGTGAACATTAAACATTCTGTAGCATTCATATCTGTCTTTTTCTGAAATACTTGTTTACAGAGATTATTTTGCTTTGGTTTTTTTTTAAGTTGCTTTTTTCTGGGGGTGGTGAGGATTTGAGCCATTTGTGTTGGTGATTTGTGCTTTAGATAAGTTTCTTCTGCACTTTCTATTTAATTAGAGTATATCCTTGGAAGAGATAGTAAAAATAAATAAAATATATTTTCTTTTGATTCCAGTATTGACAGGAGGTCAATATAATTTTCACTAACCTTATCTTGGTATATTACTCACACCATATTCCTAAGTGTAATAGTAGAAACACACTCTTACTAATACATTTAGCCACACATAGATTTTAGACAGCATTATCTAGTATTGTTAGCTCTGAATTGAATGCTTATGTGTTCTCGTTCAGGCTCTGTCCCAGGTAGCCATTTTAACATTTGGACAAGATCCTAAGAATCTGTAAAATGTTCTGGTTTAAGTACTTCTAAGTTGCTTCTAGTTCTGAAAACCTTCTATTCTGTGACCTAATCTTATAAGTAAAGTATTATGAATATCCTCTCCTTAATCACTTTTGTATTTGTTTTTATATTTTTTTGGTTTGTTTTTATGGCTGTATTTGGGAATTTCTAAAAAATGTTTTTACGTATTACTGTATGCTTTGGAGTATTGATATATGTTATGTGCATGAGTATGTGATCAGAACATTGCATTTTACAATATATTACTAAAGCAACCTAACATGTTATTTCTGCCAATATATTAACTTTAAGATTAACTTTTTAATAGTAATTCACACTGTCTTTGGAACTTGCTTTTTCATTTAGACTGCAGTCCGTCATGAGTCTTGCAATGGTCTTTATAAGTTATCTCTGTCAGGGCTGGATGGAGGAGACTCAATCAATCGCTCTTTTCTGCTGTTGGCTGCCTCAACATTGTTGAAATTTCTTCCTGATGCTCAAGCACTAAAACCTATCAGGGTAAGATTTTTACTGTGTTGAGGAGTAGTTTCTATTTCTGCCATTACTTTGGCTCCAGCTTTTGTTGTATTATATCTTTGCAGTAATTTTGAGTACTTATTTACTGTATGTAGTTTTCAACAAAAGGATAGTAGTTACATAGCTCTTAAAACAACAGTATTGTGACATTGTGTCCATGATAAAACCAGGAATGGAGTGCTTTGATTTCAGCTCTGTGAGATCTCTCATGGATATTCTGTTTTGGAGATAGCATTTGTTCTTACTAGGTTCAGGACCTTGTGTTAATAGTAAGTTAATAATAGAAATATCATCAATGTAGCCTTTTTCTCATTCAGTCACACAGGTTTTGGTTGTTTTTTGTATTTAATATTTTAAATACTGAAATTTCAATTTCCTTCCCTTCTCCAATGTATCTGCTAGCCTTGTAAAAGCCTTCTGCTCCAAAATTAATCCAGACTTCATTAATAAATTAGGAAATTTTACTAATTCCAGAAATAGAATGCATTTGTAGGATTTATATTTTCTTCCTCCATATTTACCTATTGTCACCTGTGTATGAAATATAATGAATTTTTTATTTTTCAAATTTCAAAACTGTAATAGATCATTGCATGTGGGTAGATTTATATACACTTACATTCTATAGGTTTCTTCTGTTTTCCCCATTTTAATTGGATTCTTAGTTTGTATCACATTATTTAGCATTATGTATCATTTATATCTTTCTTTTTCCAAGTAGGTCATAAGTGATTTGAGAGTAGTGTTTTTCTGAGAGTTCACATACTGTTCACTTAAGTACCTAGTATTCTCATTTTACAGAAAGTAGGAGTATTTTCTCCATTTTTTGTTAAACTTTGGAAACTGTTTAGTTCATATAGGGACTTAATTTTTCATAAAGCCTATATTCTTAAATGTACTATAATTCTAAGTTATTTCCCTTTTTAAAATGCTTCACAAAGTTAAAAATTTTTTTTTAATAGATAGATGATTATGAGGAAGAACCAATGTTAAAACCTGGATGTAAGGAGTATTTTTGGTTGTTGTGCAAATTAGTTGACAACATACATATAAAGGACGCTAGCCAGGTATGTTCAGAAAAGAATACATTAATTTGTTAATACATATGAATTATGCACATGTATTTTCATGATTTTATGGGTCCTTATTAAGGGCATTTTTATCTATAATGAGTTGAAAATGTCATAATTTTTCTACTGTATTTGTACCTTTCTGTTCTGCTCTAATTCCTTTCTTCTTTTACTTTAACCTTACTTGAAATGTCTTCATCTGGTACCATAAAAATAATTTCCTGTCTCTTCTGAGTAACATCTGTATATGTAAAATCTTATTTTCAATGTGAATTTTAGACTTTAAATATTCAGCTTTCTATAATAGCATGTGGATTTGGAGTTCTGAATATTTAAAGTAAAACTACAATTCAAGTAGAAATCTGAAGCTAAAGAAACACTATCAGTTTGCAGTCTACTAATTTTCTTGTACTAGATGAAAATATTTTTGTCCAAAGAAATGTTTAGAACAAGCTGATTTCAAAGACAAATTTTCCACTTAAGGACTTTTTTTCTCCTTTATACATTTACTAAGCTATTCAAGTGATCTCAGAAAAAATGAGGGACACTAGAAAGATACATTATTTAGGAAATACTTCCTTGAGTTCTTTTCATGTATTTTAATCAAAAGGCAATATATACGCTTTACATTTTAAAAATCCTGTAGTGCTTGAACTTCTTACATTTAAGAACTGTTTACATCTGAATTTTTATTCTGCTTCATTATAAAAATTAATGTTTATCATGTTTTAATTTAATTATTCATTAGATCTTGATGCCAGGCATTTTTTTTTAATGGGGTTGCCTTATTTGAAGTTAGGAATCTAGTGTTTCTTGCTTGCCAGTCAAAGTAATTTTCCTTCTTAGCGATATGAGTTTCTTTGAGAATCCTCTTAAGTTCAGTTTTATGAAATCTCTTGTAATTTTGTTGCTCAGCTATAATGAGAAAACTTTCTGAAATTGTTTAACTGTACATTTAGGTTCGTTTTTAAAGCCTAGTTTTAAGGTGGCATAAACAAACCTCAGTGGGTGAGTTGTATGGTCTGTGATGATGTCTCAGTAAGATCATTAAAGAGAAGATAAAACAACAAGTCTTATGTCTTTGATGAATTACTGTGACTGTCAGAAATTACTACATTCTAGGGTTCTTTTTCAAAGACTAATGATGTGTTTACTTTACACCTATGGTTTTATTAACTGACATCTTACATAAGAGTAGCTTGTAGTGTTTATGATTTAATTGGTGTATTAATGAATTTGGAAGATTCATATTCTTCTTACTTAAAAGGATTTTTTTGTTTGGTGATCTTTGACTGACTGAATGTAAAAATATGTACTTGAATTTTTTATTTTCTCTTTCTGTTAAGACAACACTCCTCGATCTAGATGCATTGGCACGACATTTGGCTGATTGTATTCGAAGGTAAAATTTGATGTAAAATTGACATACACTGTTGAGGAAAGATAAAGGATATAATTATGTGAAGTATCTTGTTTTGCTTGTATTCTGTTTTGTAGCAGGGAGATCCTTGATCATCAAGATGGTAATATTGAAGATGATGGGCTTACAGGACTCCTAAGGCTTGCAACAAGTGTTATTAAACACAAACCACCCTTTAAGTTTTCAAGGGAAGGACAGGTAGGTATTAAGACATCCAAATGTGTATATGAAATATGACTGAAACCTTTTTTGTTGTTGCATTATATGTGGATATGTTACATTTCCTTAACCATGCAAACAAAGTTTGCTAGAACTTTATTACTGGCAGGAGAAATGACCTTGAATAAAATGAACCCTAGAAATATAAATCTTAGGCTTGGCTTTAGAATGCAGAAACAAGTTTTAATTCCTGTGACTGTAAATAGAAAGGCAAACTCTACTTTAATGGTACAGTTCTGTAGGATGGAATCTTTTGAATTAATAGCTTATACAGTGGAATTAGTAAGTAGTCATTATAGTGTATCTTTTGCCTTACTGTTTTCATATTTTAAAGGCCCATTTAACATAAAAGGTATTCAAAAGTATTACCGAGTATTTGATAACACCTAAGGGCTGTACCAGCAAATGTTGATTACTCTTTAGGTTAAGTTATTCACTATACCATTAATACTTTTGTCACTGCCTGTGTTTAGGGAGACAGTTATGGTTTGGAGCATTGTTTCCTTGAGGCAATGATTGTGTCAGGAAACACAGAAATAAGCAAAAGGATGAAGGCTGTGCCCCATGGGAATAGACTGAGAGGTTCTTGAGATAAACCTCAAGTGATACCATTCTGTGATCTTCATGTTAAAAAATGAATACATTAAAAAAGGAAAAAATACAATTTTAAAAATTGAATACAGAGGGAAATAATTTAATCTTTATTGACATTTATGTTGCTGCTAAATTGTAAAAAAATATACCACAAAACTGCAAGGATTATCTTTGCACACCTGTCCCATTATATACCTATATAAATTCTTTAAAGTGAATTTGATTAATTTTAATCAGAAAACATAAGTTTACAAAAGACTATATGTCAGTTTATACTCTTAGTCACACTATATGAGAATGCCACTTTCTCAGACATCTCCACATTCCTTAAGTGACTCTCATCTTTGCCAGTCTTACTGTTGCTTTAGTGTTATTTGTTTACTTGTTGTTAGAAGACAAGTGTCTTTTCATTATGTATTTTCTATTTATATTAATTTGTGAATTTTCTGATTATAATCTGTATGTGTTCTGTCATTTTCCTTTTTATTTATTTGTAAAAGTTCTTTTGAAAATACCAGTTCTCTATTACATATGTAGTAAATATTTCCAAAAGTCTTATTTTTCCTCATTATTCATGTTTTTTTTCAAGATCACTTGTTTCTCCTTCTCTCTTTTGTTCATTGATTTATACAAATAATTATCTTAGGCATAGTTTTTAAGACCTTATAAGCTAGATATTGTTACTAAATCCCATTTTGGCAGGTAACACTAAGGCATAAACAGGTTAAGCAACTTCCCTTACTCATGTTGTTCAAACTCTTCACTTGGCTGAGCTTTTAACCGCTAAGCAGTACCTGTCTACAGACATTAAAACCTTAAACACAGTTTTATAGTTTGCTTTTTTCACCTACATTAGAGATTTTCCATTCAGTATATATACAGTTAATTTACTCCATTTAACAACTGCATAACATTCTTTTTTGAATATATTTAATATATCTAATTAGCTTTCTAATGATGAATATTGTCTTACACTATTACGAGTGATATTACAGTGTATACATCCTCACTTAGGAAATCTGAAGGAAAAAATTCTAGAAGTATTATTTCTTGTTCACAGGGTAGGTGTCTTCAAGATTTTTGTCAGTATAACCATGTTGCCCTCTGTGAAGGCTGAGCCAATTTTTGGTCTGACCTACAATTTATGTGAGCGAGTGCCTCTTTCCCCACATTCCTGTTAACCCAGTGTAATATCAGATATTTTAATGCCAGTCTTACAGGTGAAAAATTCCTAGTTTTTTCTGTTTTTTGTAATTATGAGTAAAGTCGAGCTGCTTCTCGTGTGTGTGAAGGTCATTTATTTGTGTTATCTTTCCTACTCAAATACTTTCCTCATTTTCCTATTATGTATATTTATTTAGTCCTTTTCTTACTAATCTGCAACTTTTTTTATGTAAAGGAAATTATCCCTTTGTAATATGAATTGCAAATACTTTTTTTGTCTTAACTCTAGTTTTGGTTTTGCTTGTTCTTCTGAACAGAATTTTTTTTTCATTTTCATATCATCAGATTTACTAATCTTTTCATAGCTTCTGAATTTTCTGTTATACTTTAAAAATTATTGTTTTCTCATATTTTCATAATTTTATACATTACATTTAATTTTGTTCTGTAGGAAACTTACTGAGATAAAAAGGATGAAATGGGGAGATAACTTCTTTTCAGATAGCTACCTAGCTGTCCTAATATCTGGCTAGTTTATTTTTTATTCACATTGTAGAAATGCCTCATTTCTCATATAGTATCTTCTAGAGATGGTCCATTTCATTTTTCTTTTTCAGAATTTTCTTGGCTGTTTATTTTTCCACATGAACTTTATAATCATTTTGCCTCATTCTTTGAAAAATTCAAATTCAAGTTTTTTTTTACTGGGGTCATGTTAAATGTATAGATTGATGTAGAAAAATTTACATCTTGTTATATTGAACTTGCCTAATAAGCAAGAACAGGATATTTCTTCTTATTTATGTAAGACCAGTCATTTTCTGTTCTTATCTGTAAAGTTTTCATTTAGAATTTGAATTTTTAAGCATTTCTGAATAAAGTTACCTAGGAATTTTACCTTCTCTGCTGGCATCAGAAATGAAATCTTTTATTCAGTTATGTTTCCTAGCTAGTTTAAGTGTAATAAGGATTTTTCTGTATGATTGCAGGCCATCTTACATTTGTTTATTGTTGGTAGTTTTTTTTTTTCATTTATCTTTGCTGTTGCCTTCAGTATTATCTTTGATTTCCCTTTTTTTAAAAATTTTCCCATTTGTTTTTAGTTTATTATCTGCAAGTAATTATTTTACTTATTAATTTTTAGGTCTTAACCTCTCTTCATTCTTTTCACTTGTTTAATTTTGTCTAGGCCCTCCAGAAAATGTTAAATAATAGTTGTTTTTTTGTTGTTTAATAATATTGTTTATTGAGAAACTTTTAATGTTTGTATAGTAACAACTAGTTTCCCATTGTTGTTTGGTGAGATGGGATACCTTTAGAAGCTACTGTACAGGAGAGATACGTGGTTTTAATTAACATTTTGACTGCTTCACTAATGCTCTAGGTGGAGATTTAGACTCTAGGTAGAGAACTAGGATGGCAAGTGTGTTCATCAGGGGTTCATGTAGGAAGTTTTGGAGTGATTCCAGAGAAGGATGATGGTGAAAAGTGGTTGGATTTGGGGTATTTATTGAAGGTACAAATCATAAGCCTTTAAATTTGGATAGGGTTTTGAGGAGGCAGGAGAGAGAGAGAAATTAATTTAAGAATGACTTCCCAGTTTTAAGTTTGAGAAATTAAGTGAATGATAATACTATTTACTAAGAAAGAGAAAACTCAGGATAGATCAGATTGGGGAGAGTAGAGATGTCAAGATCAGGAATCCTATTTTGGACATGTTAAATTTGAAATGTAAATTAGGTATTCAAGTGGAGGTATTTAAGGCAGTTGGTTTTGGTGTAATATTAAAAGTCTTCCTTGCCTCCAAGATACTTAAAATGCCTTTCTAACTTAATGACTTTACATAATTATTTAAGAATTTAAAAAATTTTTGTCTACAATTTACTTTTAGTTCAGAAGTGTAGAGAGCCTTATAGTAAATATTTTAGGCTTTGCAGGTCATGTAAGGTCTTTGGCACCACCATTACCACCACCACGACTAACTACTACTATTGCTTCTCCTGCCTCTCCTCTCTCTTTCTCCCTTCTTTTCCCTTCCTTCCTCCTCCCATCTTCTAATTCACCTTTAAAAATACACCTGTGCAGAATATCTAGCAAATAAATATATCAAGCAAATGGATGATTAAGGCTCATTCCTGATTCTTTTGCAAGTGATAGATCTGATAAGGGATTAATATCCAAAATATATAAAGATTCATTACAACCAACACCAGAAAAACAATTAACTTGAACAAAAAATGGGCCAAGGCTCTGAATAGACATTTTTCCAAAGAAGACATACAGATGGCCAACAGATACATGAAACAATGCTCCACATCACTAATTGGGGAAATGGAAATCAAAACCACAATGAGATACCACTTCACACCAGTCACAGTGTCTGATATCAAGAAGATAAGAAAAAATAAGTGTCGACAAAGATGTGAAGAAAAGGAAACCCTTATACACTGCTGGTGGTAATGTAAATTGGTGAAGCCACTAGGGGAAGGAGTATGGAGGTTTCTCAAAAGCTAGAAATAGCCATAAGATCCAATAATTCTACTAATGGGAATTTACCCAAAGAAAACACAGTCACTAATTTAAGAAGACATGCCTACTCCTCTTTATTGCAGCACTATTTACAATAGCCCAGATATGCAAGCAACCAAAATGTCCAGCAATAGTAGATGAATGGATACATATTTTAGGCTTTGCGGGTCATGTAAACATAATGTGTATATATGTGTACATATACATAATGGAATGCTCAGCCATAAAAAATAATGACGCCTGTCCATTTGTGACAACATGGATGGACTTAAAAAGAGTAATACGCTAAGTGAAAAAAGTTAGAGAAAGTCAAATACCAGATGACTTCACTTACATGTATAATCTAAAAAAAAAAAGGAACAAACAAAACAAATAGACTCATAGACAAAAAACTAGTGAGATTTCTTGATGTGGACAATGGTTACATAAGTCAAAATGCATCATACTGTAAGATTTGGGCATTTTATTGCATATACCTCAAAGACTCAGGTCTGATTCTTAAGAACTGACAATCTAATGGTTCATTTGTTCAGCAGGTAATTATTGAGAAACCTGCTTTATGCAATATATGTAGTTACTCTCACAAATAAAGCTGTGAATGGGATACCATCAGGGATATGAAAGATGAGATGATATTGACATGTTTAGGAAAGACTTCGATAATCATAAAGTTTTTGTAATGATTAAGTTTTCCTAAGGAGAAAAGGGGAACATTTAAGTCATACAAAGGAATATAAATAAAAAGTCACAGGAAACCAGTGGGTATGTGCAGGAAATTGAATGGTTAGTTCAGTTCAGCTTGAGTTTGAAGAAATATTGGTAGAACTTTGGGAAGCTAGGTAGCTATCTGTTTTGTTCACAGGAAATCATTTTTATATATACAATAAAAAAATATTAGTAATTTTAAAGAGGGGGCCTTTGAAACTTTTGATCAGTCAAATAACATCAGGAATATATAGTATAGCAAAAATTCTGGTAACAGATTGAGAGGACCCTCAAACTGTTCTTACATAAAGAATTTCGGAAAACTAGATTTCCACTCACAGATTTAAAATTTTTTAAAGATTCCTAGGTTTTCAAGTTTAAGTATTTTTAAAGGGTATAATACCAAGAAATTGTGGAAATAAAAATATTTCCTGTGCCCACGTGTGGTCTTGAATTTCTTCTGTATTTAAATATCATTATATTATATTTATTTGGGCACAGGCAGTCAAAGCAACGTAAATATACTTTAGTTTTTCCAATTAAATATGAAACATTAAAATGAAATTTTACTGAAAACATACATTAATAAGGATAGGACTTTTAAATTTTATATAGTTGTTGATATTATTTAGTCAGAGTGATCATGCATTCATTCTCTTCCTACTTCATATTTTTACAGATGTAATTCTGAGAAACATTATTTACATAATGGAAATGTAAACCTTGTTCACATAATGTTTATGGTGGGAATGGAAGTTTTTGTTTTAACAGTGTTACTTAGTTCTTTGAATTCTTATTACATATCAAAAATCAAATTATGATCTGTCAACAGAAACTATTTTTAATAGTCTCTCAGGTAGCAGTCTGTGGTTCTTTCTGTGAAGTATACCAAAATGGCTTCACCATTATTTATCAAATAGATATGTTAATATACACACTACTCTTTCACTTAGAGACAGTTGCTTTCCTGGCAAACTGAGGGTAAGAAGAATGAAAATGTTCATTTCATTATGCTTTACCTCCTGTATTCCTGGTAAAATGCTGTTACTTTATCAAGTTTTTAAGTACATTTCATCAAAGCTTTGGAACTATGGATGTTCAGCTCATTCAGTTTCTGGATCTAAACTGATTGGCAGATAGTTCAAGTAATGTTTGACTTTATTTTCTGGTTCGAGTTAATGTGTTACTTTGTGTCCCCAAGACAGTCATCTTACCTCTGAATTTTTAAGATTTTACACAGGATGCAATCTTATTATCAATTTGTGAACTATATGGAATAAGCCCCTGTTCACTTGCCGTATTTCTGAGCCCAACTTTTCTTTGCAAAATCAGAAATTATACATTGTGCTTTCTTTCACAGTAGTGAGATAAAAGAGCTGAGGTCATTAATGGGAAATATTTCAAATTGTTCTTTATTTGGTACCTGTGTCAGAGGTTCCCAAGACCACCCCCCAATTCAGTGATCACTAGAAGGAGTCAGCATGTGCTTGTGCTCATGGCTAACATTTATCAACATGTGATGATACGAAATGAAATCAGCAAAAAAAAATAAAAAGCATGGGCCCAGCTCAGGTGGAAACCAGATACACTCTTCTTTCCCAGTGGAATTGTACAGCATGTGCTTAATTTTCCCATCAGTGAGAGTGACAACGTGTGCGTGATGTCTACCAGGAGTCTCTCTTGAGCCTACGAGCTTACTCTCTTTGGTAAAGTAGCAAAGGACCAGTTAAGAAAGAACAGGTAGGAAAGGTGACCCTTTCTCAGGCAGATCAAATTTAGGAAAAAGTACTTCTGGAATGTGCTTTACATGATAAAACCTTGCACCTCAGTTTGAACTTAACTGGTATAGAAGTTTAAAGTTAGTCATCTGAAATCTAATTCTGGCATCTTCCAATTGTATGACTCCAGGCATGGTTCTTAACCTTTTTTGTTATTCTATTTTGGGGCCATTGAAGAGTACCTGGCGCCTCCAAGTACTAAGTTACGGTGCTGCTTTTCTGCTCTTGCTGCTGTGCTGCGGCTGGTATTATTCCTCAGAGTGAAATAAGGAGAAACTTAGTAAATAGGCAGTCAAGATTGGGAATAATGAGTCCTTAACAAAAACTTGGTCAATTAATGGCGTAGAAAATAATAGCCTTGCTGCTGGGAATCTGTAAGAATGAGGCTATTAGGTATCAAGAGGGAGGGAAGAGTAAAGGTGATTACTACCCATTCCATTTTCTTTTAGAAATCTGAACATTGGAAAGACTTTCAGATGACGGTATATGATGCTACTTTGAATTTTTAAAGTCTTTTTAGTAAGTTGTAGATTGTCATGTAATGTAGTTTACTTTATGTAAGTTACTCATTGTATTTGAAATATAATTAATATCCAAGTTTAGATAATATACTTGGTCTTTCTCTTTTTTCCAGGAATTTTTAAGAGATATCTTCAATCTTCTGTTTTTGTTGCCTAGTCTGAAAGATAGACAACAGCCAAAGTGCAAGTCACATTCTTCAAGAGCTGCTGCTTATGATCTGTTAGTAGAAATGGTAAAGGGATCTGTTGAGAACTACAGGCTAATACACAATTGGGTTATGGCACAACACATGCAGTGTAAGCATTCTTCCTGTCCTTTAACCTTCCTAAATTTTATATGCAGAGATGAGATTTTGGAGGGCATGTTTTAAAGAAAAAATTCACTGTTCACACACTTTAACATGATAAACTGTTGCTGGGACATTAAAAAGTAAAAATTGGCTGTTTAAAAAAAACACAGTTGTGAAGAACTTTTTTATAGGTATCTGTAATACTTTGGCAGTTTTTGTTAAAATAATTTAATGCCAAGTAAAATCAAGTTTTGACAGTCCTTTGGATTTTTACGTAATGAGTGAGTTTTAGTATGTTTTCTTACTAACTCTAAAAATTACCATATACCATATGTAATATCTTGTGTGTATTAGCTAAAGTGATGAAGGTAGTGGCTATTAATTAATAAAAGAAAAATGTATTGTTTAATAGTTTGTTTGGGGGACATCTTTTTCTCCCTCTTTTTTCAGCAGCTCATGCACCTTACAAATGGGACTACTGGCCTCATGAAGATGTCCGTGCTGAATGTAGATTTGTTGGCCTTACTAACCTTGGAGCTACTTGTTACTTGGCTTCCACAATTCAGCAACTTTATATGATACCTGAGGCAAGACAGGCTGTCTTCACTGCTAAGGTACAGTTCTCCTCACTTTAAAACTATGAAACAAAATTTTTTTTATTTTGTTGATAAATCTTGATTATTTCAATTTAGTAAAATATTGATAAAATTACTTAAGAATTAAAAAATGACAATCACATAACTTGCTATCATATTTTAATTATTTCTATATTCCAATACATTAATGTATTGAATACAATACATTTTACATTTTAATACATACACATTATAACCTTGTATATATAATTTCTTGATTTCTCAAAAGAAAATAAAGTTTTAGGATATACATGCTTGGTATATACAATGAACATGAGATTTTCAGTAAAAAATAAAATTTAATCATGTAGAAAATAAGCAAAGCCGGAAGCAAAGTAGGGAAATTACCAGAATCACTGAACATGTTTCGTTTATATTTTTCCCAAAGTAAATTTGAATGTGGGCCTAGTTGGTTTGGGTAAGCTCTGCTTCATGTTATATTTGTTAAACTTGCTCTTTCTAGTTTTCATTCCTTTTTACCATGGGCTATTTTTCAGTTTGCCTTCTGCACTGCTTTTATAATTTCTTGGCAAACTTACTTTATGCTTGTATTTGGGTTTTTGTCTTCCTCCATTATGTCATCTTGATGTCCTTGCTTACCTCTACCCCAACCCCAGTAAAGTATTACAATTCTTTATATACCTTCAGTGAGTCCTTAATATATTTAAATTATGCTTTCAGGTCTCCAATTTATAGTATATTTATGTGGGGTTTTTTTTTTAGCTTAACATTAATGCTTTTATCTTCTAAACTGATTATAATTAGAAATAGTTGAATAATTGCTTCATTTAGTATATGGAGATTTTTGTGACTCAATTTGCTGGCACCATCTGCATAATTTCATGGAATCAGTTATTAAGAAAGAGGTATGTTTTTAGTGATTTTTCTTTTTACCTGGTGACTTGGCCATATTTCATGGTTTCAATGCTTACCTGTTAGACATCAGCACTCTCAGGAATTAATGTGTAGCAGAAGGAACAAATGTGTTAATTTTAAGTCTCCTAAGTGGTATTTTTGGTTAAAAACTGAATTTAGATTTGACTCTACATGAAAAATTCTTACAGAATAGAATTTGATGATACTTTGGAAAATAGTCAATTAGGCACTTGATTATTTATATGAAAAGATTATTTTTCCCTTTTCCGATATTCATAGACATATTAAAGCTACATGTATTTCACTTGTGAAATGTATGCAACATGAAATTTACCATATTAATAACCATTTATAAGTATATAGTTCTGTTATATTAATTACATTCACATTGTAGTCACCACCATCATCAGTCTCCAGAATTTTTTCACCTCCCTCACCTCTGTACCCATTAAATACCAAACTCCCCATTCTCCTTTTTCCCAGGTCCTTGCAAACACTATTATGTTTCCTATATCTATGAATTTGACTACTCTAGGTGCCTCATATAAATGGACTCATACAATATTACTCCTTTTGTGACTGGCTTATTTCACTTGGCATAATGTCTTCAAGGTTAATCCGTGTTGTAGCATGTAACAGTATTTCTGTCCTTTTTAAGGCTGAATAATATTCCCCTGTATGTATATACCATATTTTATTATCTATCTGTTAATGGACACATTTGGGTTGTTTATGCCTTTTGGCTATTGTAATGCAGCTGTGAACATGAGTGTATAGATTTCCATTCCAGTACTTGCTTTCACTTCTTTTATATGTCTATATCTATCTATCTATCTATCTATCTATCTATCTGTCTATCTATCTATCTATCTATCTATCTATATATATATATACTTAGAAATGGAATTGCTGGATCAATCATACAGTAATTCTGTGTTTGCCTTTTTGAGGAATCACCATGCCATTTTTTCCACAGTGTCTGCACCATTTTATATCCCTACCAGCAGTGCACACTAGTGTCTGCGCTATTTTATATTCCTACCAGCAGTGCACAGAGGTTCCAGTTTCTTCATATTCTTGCTACTGCTTGTCATTTTCTGTTTTTTTGTATAATAACTATCCTGATGGGTGTGAATTGATTCTTTTAAGTAGTAAATACATACATATATACAGTATATATTTACTTAGAAATTGTACATTAAGTAAATATCCTTGGTTTTACTTAAATGAATTCAGTCACTTCTGTCCTTCAACCAACTTTATTCCCCAGTAATGAAAATATAAAACTTTTATTCTGATAATTTTATTATTCTGAATTATTAAGTTTGCATGTATCAGTTCTATGTTGGAAAATACATTTTATGTGACTATGCTCATAATCTCATGAAATACTAAGCCTCCTATATGCCAGGAATATACTAGTTGTTTTTGCCCATTTTGTTGATTCCTTTTAGTCAGTTGCTATTGCACTTAATACCATATAATTTTGCAGTAACTATATATTGAACAGATCCCTCTTTCATTGTTCTTACATTGTGTCTGTCCTCAGATTATAAGCTAAGTAGCAGAGCCATATATTACTTGTACTCCCCACAAAATTGACACAAATAACTAGTGTATACTTCTGACATATAGGAGGTTTATTATTCCATGAGACTGTCAGAACTACTTTAAAATTATATGACAGGTAGGAATTTGAAATGGAGATAATATCTACTTCATAGTTTTAATATTTGAAATAGAGTATATCTAATGAGTGCCTGGCATGATTTGGGATCTCCTTTTAAGTCTGATGTTCAGGACTAAATTTCTAATGCATAAGTCTAGTCACATACCTGTATATCATCAGTTAATGATATTTGAATATATAGAGGCTTTTCAAAATGTTTGGCCAGTATTTCTCTGCAATGTTAAGGATCTACTGTTCTCAAAAATATAAAGATATGACCAGATGAGGGTGAGATGTCACCTATTAATATAATGAAAATCCGAACTTTGTTGCACAGTCACCAACTTGTAAAACTAGCATTGCACCAAAAGGGTGTTGATTGGGAGAGCAATTTTTTAAAATCTCTTTATTCTGTTTCCTTGCAGTATTTATATTACAAAATACTCCCAATTTTTAAAGTGCTGAAATTGCTAAACAGAGAATAAACTGTGTTTTTCCTACAAATAGCTGAAAGAATGTAAACAGATACTGTGTTAAACACATTGTAGTATTTTCTTTGATAGAATGCCTAATTTAGTACCATCAGAATGTTTTAATGAAAAGCTTTCTCTTAATTTCCAGTATTCAGAAGATATGAAGCACAAGACCACTCTTCTGGAGCTTCAAAAAATGTTTACATATTTAATGGTATGTTTGAGAACCACGGTATGGAAAACTTATTAGATATAATCTCGACCAAAGCTGAAAACATTAAATGATGTTCATTTGTAGTGGATTTGTCCTGACTGTATACTCTTTATTTTTCAAATCGAATTTGTCAGTCACTGGCATTTTATATCATGGTGACTTTTAATAGTCATATCTCAGTTAACTACCTTCTGTTGATTTGTCCTTTGAAGAATGTCTTGTGTGTGATCCTTTTTCCATCATAGGGTTTACCCCTTATGGTTAGAATTTCCTGACTGGTTTCTCTTTATCCCTCTTAATTCCTCCCACCCCCCAACGTGTAAAAGTAATCTTTAAAAAATAACAAATCTTCTAGTATTACTCTGCTTCTTAAAGCTCTTAAGTGGTTCTTTATTGTGAACAGAACAGTATTCATGTTCATGAGCATTTTGCCCCTTCCCTTCAACCTCCTCTCTTATCCTCCTACATATCCAGCCTCACCGTTTAATAACGGTAGGCCTTTGCCCATCCATCACCTGTTGCTTCATCATGTGTGGAGTGATTCATGCTGTGCCTTCTGCTATAGTGCTATTCCCTCAACACTGTTCTCCGTTTTCTTCCCTCTCTTCTCCTGGAATCAACTTGGTTTTCACTTCCTCTAAGAGACCAAAGATTCCAGTGTTTCCAAGTTACTGTAACTTTTTGTCGCTCCCGCCACTTATATTAAAAGTTATTTGTATCATCTATTAGAATCCTGACAACACAGATAATGTATTCAGTTCTGTATTTTTCAGCTTCTGATACTTAGTAAGGACTCAGTAAGTGAGATTTTTAACAATTAAAAGATTACTACTTATCCTTTGCACTTTAAATCTCCCTTTAATAGAACATTTCATTGTTAGTATTTAAACAGCTATTGAACAAAAGTTATGTAGGAAAACTTAACCTGCAAAGGTTTTTTTTTTAATGATTCACAATACAAATCTATGTCCCTTGTGTCCCAAATTCCTTCCTAGAAATTACTAAACTTAAAAAAAAATAACAATTTCTTAACAGTAATTTAAGCATCTTCTGGCACAAAAACTATTAGACTGAAAATGCCATGAAAATAAAAAAAAATGAAATAGAAGAGAACGTTTTAAACCTTTCTTGTAGATTTACTCCCTGTTGTGTTGTTTTATTGTTTATTCAAGAACCTTGTGATAATTTTATTTTTATTTGAGACTTAGATTTATTTATTTGATTGTTTCAAATTGCTCCCCGTACTCCTTTGCAGGAGAGTGAATGTAAAGCATATAATCCTAGACCCTTTTGTAAGACCTACACCATGGATAAGCAGCCTCTGAATACTGGGGAGCAGAAAGATATGACAGAGTTTTTTACTGATCTGATTACCAAAATTGAAGAAATGTCTCCAGAACTGGTTAGTTCCAGAATACTGAAGTTTCTTTGAAATCTGTACAGGTTTGCCCATTTTTACTCACTTTTCTTTGTTGTTGTTGTTTTTTGTTTTTTTTTTTTTAAAGAAAAATACCGTCAAAAGTTTGTTTGGAGGTGTAATTACAAACAATGTTGTGTCCTTGGTAAGTACTCTACCTGTTCTTTGTTTTTTTGGGGGTGGAATTCTTAATGTATATTTTAACTTACTATAAACCTTTTCCAATTTTTAACTGTTGATTGACCAGGATTGTGAACACGTTAGTCAGACCGCTGAAGAGTTTTATACTGTGAGGTGCCAGGTGGCTGACATGAAGAACATTTATGTGAGTAATGTTGTATATACACTTTTTTAGACTTTTAGCTGCTTTTAACTATTTGTATGCAGCAGGTTTATTATCTTGAGAGAAAGTGAACTCTCATCATGTTTTCATCTATTTCCTTCTTGCTATTCTACTGAAATAAGAATTAAAGGTAGATTATAAAGCTGATTTTTCCCAGTCAGAAGTTAAATATTTGCACTTTTGAAGAGTTTATTAAAATTCATAGAGCATCTTATCAATACAAAGAAAACAATTCTTTACTAAAATTAAGAATTCACGTATTTATTCAAAAGATTTGTTTTCCTATGTGCATTCTGCCCAACTTATAGTTGTATTTTGTATTTTGGCATGCTATAACCACTAATAAGAAATATTTAAATTGGGTGTTATACACAGGAATCTCTTGATGAAGTTACCATTAAAGACACTTTAGAAGGAGACAACATGTATACTTGCTCTCATTGTGGGAAGAAAGTACGAGCTGAAAAAAGGTGTGTTTTTTGAAATGTAATTTTTATCATTTTGATGAATCATATGGAAGTAAAACAGAAACTTAGAATAAATTAACATTAAAAACTTTATGAAAAGTATGTGGTAAAATTAAAGTCAGCTGCTTAGAGCTTACTATCATGCAGCAACTTTTCATTCAATCACTCAGGTATACTTTAAAGCATGCTTAAATTTTTTCAGATTTTTGTCCTATTAAATATTTACCAAGGTCTGTCTGATTGTTTAGCCTTTTGCTGTGCACTCAGTGGAGCATGATAAACGGTCTGCTTAGGAACTGAAAACATCCTCCTCTGAATTTCTAAAGTGAGAGATTTTTTTTCTTAAGAACCAGCCATAACACAGCCAGGTTAGGACAAAGTAGTTGGGTAAAGATGTTTCAATTCTACAGGTGAACACTGAATGCCAAATAGAGATTGGATTGAAAGATAATCTTACCCAGTTAGTTACTGGGAACAAAGGCAGAGAAATGATCTGAGAAGGAGCATAACTGTTAGAAAGGACTGAGTCCCAAGCCAATCTTAAAGTACAAAGGAAAAAGTGGCACAATTGAAGTTAGGAAAGAAAGAAAGTCAAGATAGGACGATAACCCACAAACCAAGGAAGAGAATCTCCAGAAGTTCCTCAATTGACATAATCCATAGACAAGGCAGAAAAAAATGACAGCCGAGTAAAACCATTAGGTTTTCCAAAAAAGTAGTTAGTGGTCTGTTTTGTTAGGTTGTAGCTATAGAAGCCAGGTTGTCAGGGTACATGGCATCAAGTATAGATAATTGATTTTAGTTGTTTGACAGTAAGAAACAGCAAGGAAGGTGGAATCTAGAATTAATTTTGGATCAAATGGGGTTTTACTAGATGAAATAGATCTGCACATACTGAAAGGCAGAGAATGAAAAGCCATCTATTAAGATTGCTAAATAGAAGATTTTTCCAGGTAAATATGCATTTGAAAGAAATGATACTCTTTTTTCTCAGTCTCCAGAAATAAAGTTGCTTGCAAGAGAAAAATTTGTATATGGACATACTCAAAAGAAAGCTTAGCTGTGCAAGCAGTTACAGGGAGAAAACAAATTCACCTGAAAAGAACTGGGTTAGGGTAAGAGTTAAGGACTGACACAGAATAAAGTCAGTTAAAAGTTTGTTACTGTGAGGAATATAATGAGGCACCAATTAAGAAAATTGAGAGGCTGAATCATGTTCTTTGGAGAATATCTTTATGTAGATGGAATAAATGAAATTATTGAATAAATCTGTCATTCTTGACAACTCCCTACTTCTTGAAACTTTGCCTTCTTTTGACTAATATGATTCTACTGTTTTTCTAAAATAGTGGCTCACTTCTCCCAGGAACAGTGTAATTCAGTCCCTTGTACTCTTTCACACTTGTAGATGTCTGTAATAACATAGTAAGTATTCAACAGCAGTGGACCAGAGATCATATTCTATCTTCAAACCTCTGGTTTTCCCAGTTTATTTATTCTTTCTTGAGTAACTTTATCTACCACCAAATCATCAATCTCTACTGACATGCTGATGATTCCCAAATCATCTTACCTAAATAAGACCACTCTGGTGTGTTTTCCCAACTATCTTGTGTGTCTCATATATTCAGTAGGTCTGTAACATAAACTCTCATTTCCTAAGATCCGTTTGTATCTTTTATTCTCTGACGTAATGTATGGTTCCACTGCCCACCACAAGTCCTTAGTGTCTCTTAGCTCTCAGGGTAAAATTTATACTCTAATATTATACACAAAGCCCTTCAAAATTTGACTCCTTTATAATTCTGTAACCTCATCATTTGCCAGTCTCCCAAATAATCAATAATGATGAATTTTTAAGAGTTCTTTACCTTCTGCTTGTGAGATCCCCCCTTTTTTAAACCAAGCTCTTTTTTAAACCAAGGATCTCACATGCAGTGAAGAATTATTCCCCAAAAGTCATACTTTTCGTAAGTCCAAGTTTTATATATATATATATTTTTTAACTGAAATTTGTCTCTTTAAATTTGAACTAACAATATGGTATACTGTAAGATTTCTGTAACCACTGGGCTTGCTGCTGCTGCGGTGGGTGTAATCTGGGACAGCACTTACTGAATGCTGTCTGCCAGGCAGCATTCTGAAAGCGGTAGGGAAGCAGGCACTTTCATCTCCATTTTACAAATCAGGAATTAAGCTCAGGGTGGTTCATTAACTTGGTTAGCATTATACATCTAGTAAGTGATACAGCCAAACTTTTCAATTCTAATTCATAAAAATAAATACTTTAAGGTGGAAAAGAAAACAGCCAAAGACCTCCTTGCTATTAAAGTATGATGTGAACTCTTTTTGTGCTTCCATAGCACCTTTACATACGTTCTTCATCGTATTTACCAGTCTGCTATAATTTTTTATTTTCCTTATCTAGACAAAGGAAAACCTTTTCAGATTGGAAAAAGTCATGTAAGAAAGGGTGATTAATTGATTGATTTTAATAAGAGCCATGATGTAGAGTACTATTTACTCTTGAGTTGAATATTGGAGTAAGTATAGTAAATGTAAATGATACTAGCTTAAAGTACTTTTGAAAGAATTTTTAACAGTGTTTTTAACAAAAAGGGTTTTTTGGCTTTCTTTGTTTTTTTAAATCTTTCAGAGCATGTTTTAAGAAATTGCCTCGCATTCTGAGTTTCAATACGATGAGATATACATTTAATATGGTCACGATGATGAAAGAGAAAGTGAACACACACTTTTCCTTTCCACTGCGTTTGGATATGACACCTTATACGGAAGATTTTCTTATGGGAAAGAGTGACAGAAAAGAAGGTAATTTTCCATCTCTTTCTCTTGTCTATGTTTATTGTAAGTCTCCATAACAAGGTAGTCAGTCATGAAGTTGTAATCAACTACACACTTAATTAAATTGAATCTTAGGAGAATGTTTTTAAAGACAATATGGCACATCATCTAGTAGGATATGTTCTAACATGATCTTTTAGATATTGGAAAAACATTAATGAACAAGATAAACTTGATTCCTGACCTTGTAGAATCCAGTACTTGGAAAATGTTACTGAATAAAGAATTACAAACATGGTGTGTTGTCAATAGAACAGTGAATGTATCACAGATATAGGGGACTCAGGGAGGACTTTCATGATAACATTTAAGCAGAGCTTGAATAAGACCTAAATTGAGAGGAATGGACAGGCAGTTTGGGCATTGATGAGATAGGCAAAAGGCAATGGCCAGATCATTTTGTTTGTAGGCCGTGTTAATTTTCTCTTTACTCAGTGTGAATCCATTGGGAGATTTTAAGCAGGCAACAGAGATAACCAGGTAGGATCTAGAAAAAATTATTTTGACTACAAAAATTGAAGTGGATTAGAGGATGATGAAAGAGATGTGGTGAGGCCATTCTCTGTAAACTACAGAGAGGATGGTAGCTTAGATGAGAAAGCATATACCATTAGAGTTGGAGAGAAGTGTATGAAAATAGAGTTATTAATAGAACTTAATGATTGAATGAGTAAATGAATCCAGTAAAGTTAGTGAATATCTCTCTACCATGTAACTTGCTATTCTTACTGTAATAGAAATACAGTGACAACAAAAAATAAGGTCTTTGCCCTTATGCAGTTTACATTTTAGTCTGCTGCTAAAGGGCAGAGGAAAGTCAAGAATGACTCAGGTTTCTGGCTTGATCAGCTGTGTAAATAGTGGTATCAGTATTTCCACAAGCTCTTAAGAGAGAATGTGGTCAGAAGTATTAAATGCTAAGGAAAAGGAACATTTCCAGTAAAAACATAATGGAAAATAATTTGATATCTGGAGGGTCTTTAGGTTATTTTTATCAGAGCAGTTTCACTGCGGTATTGCAATAAGCAGGCAGATTGCAGTGAGTTAAATTAAAGATGGCACTTGGTTCATAAGACGTACTCCAAATTGTTGCTGCTTTTCTAAGACTGGTGATTTTTAAACTTCTGTGAATGTTCCTTGAGGACCACAGAGGTGATGAATGGAAACAGGTGGGAGAAAAAAAGCAGAATGGATCTAGCTCTTGCCTCTTCCATTGTTTAGCTATAGTAGTTTCATTTGACACAATAAGGTTCCTAGAAATGTTTTCTTTGTATAAGAAGTCCTACTGATAAAAAATTTTAAAGTTTGAAGAAGCCATTCTAAGATCTAGGAAAGAAAACCCTGTTTTAATCTTTACAGTCTATTGCCTGGGACTTAGTGAGCATCCAGTAAATGTTTTACTCTCAACTAAATGGGAGATGAGTGTTGGCTATTCTTTCAAGAGAAGAGCATACTCTTTCTTTGAAGAGAGGAGAGAAGATGGTGACTGTAGCTATGAAGGAATGTGGAGTTAAGGGAGGGAATTTTTTAAGTTAGAATTTGAGTATGTTAAGAAGTTGTAGGCAGTAAGCCAGTAGAGATACTTGAGAATACAGGTGAACCTAAGAAGTAAGCTCTATATATATGTATATATATCTCCTACTTTTTAGAAACTCTTTCTAAACCTTTTGTAAAATTAGAGCAAGACTGCCCAGTAACTGTGCTTTATTGTATTTTTCATGATACTTCCATGTATGGAAGTAGCAGAAATTTGTGGCAAGATAAAGGATTTTGTTAGGGTACAGATGATGCATTCAGATTCTGGTCCTACAGTATTGAAGTCTTCAGCCCGCTACTTGTGACACTGTTAGTGGCCTAATTGCCACTTCACTTTTCTGTTTAAGACTGCACTCAAGTTAACCAAATCTGCTTTCACTTACTTGCTTCTGGTTATACTTTTTCTGTTCTGTATGATGCTGGGACTAGAGATTGCAAATCATAAATCATCTTCAAACTTGTTAGACCATTTTGTAGTTTTTTCTCCTAGCATTTTTTTTATACTTTTCAAATTTAAATCTTTGGTGATGTGGAGTATATCTTTCACTTGTTTTGTTTCTTTTCTACATACAGCTCCTAATATAGAGTGTTTTCTACTAACTGATAACACAGTATAAGCCTGTTACCAGTACAGTATTCCATATTCCTTAACATGAGACTAAAAGGCATAAATGTTAATGCTTTTTCAGATCTTGTGTTTGCCTGCTCCTAGTAAAGATAAACTCGAATGAAGAATTTTGTATTATCTTTTTTAAAAGGACCCAGATTAAACAAAAAACATATTTTACATCTATATATTATATTGAGGGTGTCCATAGTTAATGCACTAACACATGGTTATTTTTCCAATGATTTATATAAATGTTCCTTAAATTTGTAGGCTGTGGTTGGTGACTAGCAAATAGAGTTGTTTTGTACCTATTTTAATATAAAAAGTATCTATTCCTGTATCTGTCCATAAAGTATATTATATAAAGTATTCCTATATCTGTCCATAAAGTGATTCTAAGGTGTCACTGCATTCAGTTTTCAAAATTATTGCCGTTTGATATATAATGCCATTTGATATTTGATCATTATTGCCTAATGACATGTAAATCATTTCAGGTTTTAAGGAAGTCAGTGATCATTCAAAAGACACAGAGAGCTATGAGTATGACTTAATAGGAGTGACTGTTCATACAGGAACAGCAGATGGTGGGCACTATTACAGCTTCATCAGAGATATAGTCAATCCACATGCTTATAAAAACAATAAATGGTGAGTTTAAAATATTTTATTCTTGGGATTTAAAAAAATCTGTCTTTAAACTATAAGCTTTATGATAGTTTTCTCCTCAGATATGTTTCCTGATTTCAGTTTTCTAAAAACTTTCTTTAGGAAAGGGGGCAGACAAATTTTTAAAATAAAAGTGACTTTCAAAAGGCAGTATGAATCAGTTATTCTCCTGATTTGAGAATTTGATGAGTGTTCTCTTGATAAACACACACAAAGTTTGCATACAACTTTATAGAGTCAGTGACAATATTGTACCTTCCAAATCTTATCTTTAGGTGTTGACTCATTCAAGAGCTGTTCACTAAGTCTTCTGTAGTGTGGCCACAAAGTCCTCATGTATGCCGATTAGAAGTTACCTGTGTGGTCTGCTCTGTTTCCCTTTGCCTTCCAACATACACACTCATCTTCTTTCCTACCATCTCTTACCAACTTAATGGTTGGAAGTCATTAAATCAGTCCTTAATAGATATTTTTGGTCTTCAGATGTTGTTAGGTAGAGTCTCCTATATAGAGACTCTATTTGTACTAGGCATTATTCTAATTGGGGATATTGCTTTTAACAAAATGTACATTGCTAAATTGATGTGCAGTTAGCAAAATAGTTTTGTTCAACTATTTCTCTTCAAGCCTTCATATCTGGAGTATCTTTTGCTTTTTCATCCATTTAAGTAATATTTCCACAAGTATATTTTGAATCATTTTTTTACCATGTTTTGAAATGGCATTTGATCTTTGAAAGTTCTTCCATCTCTTAATCTTTTCTGTCCAACAACTTTATGTTATATTTATGCAAGCTTTTTATTCTTAGTTTCTATGAACTCTTCTATGTTATTCCTAGGTTATAATCGATCTATCCAATTTTAGGGTGGTTATTGACTATGTTGTAAAATTTCTAATTTATAGTAGAATAGAATTTTCAGAACAAGAGCTTCGTTAGAATTTACCTCATGCTAATAGTTTTGATCAATATTTTTATCAGTAGATAATTTTAATATTTTTTAAAATAGTTATAGAGATATTCAGTACATATATATTTGATCAACAGTACATGTTCTATTTTAGGTATCTTTTTAATGATGCTGAGGTGAAACCTTTTGATTCTGCTCAACTGGCTTCTGAATGTTTTGGTGGAGAGATGACAGTAAGTTTTATTCAGTGATTATAAATTGTTTGGAACTTTCAAAGTGCTTTACAGTTCCATGTAACCTAATAGCAGAGTCACTTAGTTCTCACTGTGATTAATCTATTCAGTTGTTACTTACTGGAGGTTTTGTATGTTTGGTGTGTATATACCAGATCCTGGGAAAAATTTTTTAAATTACTGTTTTTTGTCTTCAGCTGGTTAAAAATGTTAAGACTTAACAATTGACAAATTAAATAATAGTATAAGAATTGAATTACATTGCCATGAAACATGATTGAAGAACTCGTTTACTTAAATGCTTTGGGATTAGAGCAAAAAGAAATTATTATTTACTGACTTAATATGAGGAATCTTTGACAAGGAAGTTGGCTTGAGAAAGGAACTTTATGTAACAGCAGCAGCAGCCTGATTATCACTAATGACAAGATAGAAAAAGAGTATGTTATCTGTTACATAATAAGCAGTGAGGCATAAGACAAGACAATTAGGTTGGAGTAGTAATAATTTCATTTTTTCTAGGCAGTTTATCCTAGTATCAATTTTCTGAAAACAGTTTTAAAATGCCCTGATGATTTTCACAAGTCAAGAAGTAAATAGTGATTTCCATTTCACGGATAGGCCCAGATAAAGTTATTCTTCATGTTAAAATTAAATTATAAAATTAAGTTATTAGTAAATAATAAAAAGAAGACTCAGTAACTGGATTTTAGTGAAGAACTTCCTTATTGCTCTTTTGTGCTCTTATGTACTGTTCTGAATAGAAAAGGATAAATAGGCATATTGCTAACACTTTGGAAATGGGTAGAAGAAAGAAGTAAATAATTACTATTGAAGCCATCACTAAAGCAATTGCGTCTCTAGATGTTATTCCTAGGATATTTCCTAAGGAAAAGAAAAGAAACATAATTTTTTGCAAAGCTCTTCTCTTAAAAGTCAGTTTTTCAAATTGCAAGTCCATTTTATTTTCTTAATGCTTTATATGTTTTATGGTTAAGTACCTTAAAAAATGTTGGGAATCTTTGCTTTCCAAGTACTCTTGGTTAAAAACTTCTGTCAGGAATTTTTATGAATGTAATGCTATTTGAAAATGATTTACAAAGCTTAAGAATAAAATAGCTGTTTGTGAAATATTTAATATATATAAATATAGCTAATATACCCATTTTTTATAGAAGGAAAACTTTTGTTTTTTTTTTAAACAGACCAAGACTTATGATTCTGTTACAGATAAATTTATGGATTTCTCCTTTGAAAAGGTAGCCATTCTTTCCTATATAATTTTACATTGTTTCTTTCTTCTACATTGTCTACTTATTTTATAGTTATACTTATCAAAATGAAAATACACTACTTACTTTTTTTTCCTCTTGAAGACACACAGTGCATATATGCTGTTTTACAAGCGCATGGAACCAGAGGAAGAAAATGGCAACGAATACAAATTTGATGTTTCATCAGAGTTACTAGAGGTATAAGCTAATTTAACTTTAGGAACAATTTAAAAGCATGTTACATATTTAGAGAAGTAGTAATACTGTTAAGATTAGGCTATAGCAACAATAGGAGCTGTAATCTAAAGTAGACGTTAATACTGTTTATTAAATGGTCCTGGTAATACTGACAATTGACAGGTAAATGTAGAGTGAATGAAATTAAAGGGAGTGGAAAGTAATTATTAGTAACACTGAAGAAAAATAAGAAAGGTAAAATTGTTGATAGAATCAGGGCAAGCTCCTAAGTAACTCATTTAGATGGTGGGTGGCAAGTGTTCCTTTTCTTACACTTCATGTTACCCACAAGTGTACAGTGTATTTGAAAGGCCTTTAAAATATGGATTTTACATAATTTAATAATGTCTCATTTGTAATAATAGGCTTTCTTTGATTCATAATGTAGTAAATGGTAATGTTAATGTTTTAAGATTTATAAAAAATTCACAACTCAATGTATATTATTTCCATGTTTTAAACTCAATTAGCCAAAAGTACAAAAAGTAAATCTCCTGAAGTTTATATTTGATAAAAATATACCCTTCCTTGTAGACAGTTAAGCTTTTAACTATCTTAATTGATTTATTGATATTTGCACTGGTCTTAAAACTGAGTGAATTTTGTTCCCTGAGTCCTTTGTGTTATCTTGCCTATCCATAATATTACTGATAAAAAAAACAATGTCATCTTTCAAACTGTTGATTTGGATTTACCAGTAAAATTAGATGCTTCACTAGATTTCAAGCTATTAAACTCACTAATTTGCACAAAAATTTATTTCAACCACCTTCATAACCAAAATCAGATCATAATCACCATTATGTGCAAGACTTTGTGCCCCAAAAGCATTCAAACAAATCTACAGCTTGTTCAAGATGAGGACCTGATATTATTTAATGATAACCAGCCCACTTGTGAAGTAAAATGAAATTTTAATAAAACTCTAATGATGTATATTCATTTATATCATGGTTCTCAAATTTCCTGTGATCAGGACTCCTTTATGTTCTTAAAAATTATTGAGAATCTCAGAGTTTTTTTATATTAGTTTTAATGTGGTTATATCTAATAGTATTTATATTAGTAAAACAAAATTCTAAAATTTGTATTCATTTACACATAATAAAAATACACCCATAACATGCTAAGAGAAGTAACATTTTAAGAAAAATAATTTTTTTGGAACAAAACCATTCAACAAGAAAAGTGGCCCTGTTTTACATTTTTGCAAATCTCTTTAATATCTGATTTAATGGAAGACAGCTGTAGTCTCATTAGCAGCTTCTGCTTTTGGTCTGTTAGGATCTCATTCATCGTTTAGCCTCTGGAAAACAGCATTGTATATAATCAGGAGAGGAGAGTTTTTTCTAAAAGGCAGATAATATTATGCTATTACTAAGAAAATTGTTTTGACCTTTCAGAGACCCTAAAAAGGTCACACAGACCCACAACTGTGTGAACCATTCTTTAAGAACTAGTGATTTTTTTTATGCTGTGACAAAAGGAGATCTCGGGTCTTTGCTGTCCTGTAACAAGAAAAAAAAATCCCTGAACTATGTTAGATTATTCTTTATTGGCCTAAACCAATCATTTTTTCCCATCATTGTTTCAGCTTATTAAAATGAGTTTATATATGTACACTTTACTAAAATGGTTAAATAAAAATATAATACTGTTATATAACATTAATATAGATTTTAGATATATAAATTGGAATTTGGTTCTTAAGATTTATGCGTTTAAAAATAGGTAGGTAGTTGCCATCTGCAACGACATGGATGGAGCTAGAAGGTGTTATGCTCAATGAAATAAGCCAGGTGGAGGAAAACAAATACCAAATGATTTCACTCATTTGTGGAGTATAAGAACAAAACAAAACTGAAGGAACAAAACAGCAGCAGAATCACAGACTCCAAGAAGGGACTAGTGGTTACCAGAGGGAAGGGGGAGTGTAGGGAGGGAGGGAGGGAGAAGGGAATTAGGGGGCATTATGATTAGCACACATGTTGTAGGGGGGTGCACGGGGAAGGCAGTATAGCACAAAAACAAGTAGTGACTCTATAGCATCTTACTACACTAATGGACAGTGACTACAATGAGGGGGGACTTGATAGAGTATAATATGGGTGAATATAATAACCACAGTGTTGTTCATGTGAAACCTTCATAAGATTGTATATCAATGATACCTTAATAAAAAAAAAATAGGTAGGTAGTAACCAGCTTCCCCAAAAGGTAAATAGAAAATTTTAGAAATCATAAAATATATTAAGTAAACAAACATTATAAATTATGTAGACTTACTGATAAAACAAGCAGAGCACTCAGAGTGGTTGATTGAGATTGCTGGGGAAAGTGATCAGGAGGTGTTTCAGATTAACCTTAAACTGAGACTTGAAAGTTAGCAGAGTTAATCATGTGAAGAGTACTCCAGGCAAAGGGAACATTGTATACAAATCTCCTGAGGAAAGGTGAAGCTTAAAATAACACCTCTGGCTCTGATGATTAAGCGCAAGGAAGAATAGCCCAAGATTAAGTTGGAGGAGTATGTAGAAAATACCTAGGGAAGTTCTTATCAGTGTAGTGCAATAATTTCATACTTAGGCACATTCAGATGGCTCCCTATACGTTGTATTGATACAGTATAAAAAGGATCATCAAAAAACAATATTTCCTACAACAAAAGTGGAACAGAATTAAAAGCACTGAGTTTGGTGGAACCACAGGATTACCAGGTTTTAGGTCCAAAGCAAATAATGGTGGCCAAGAGTTCAGTTCTTGTGGGGTAAAGGGTACAGAAATTACGACACAGGATCTAGAGCCAAGCTCATAGCTAGAAGCAAGAAGCTTAGAATGGAGCTGTATTGCTATGAAAAGGCATTGAATTAGGATGGGTGAATGCTATCAAATTCTCCTCCATGCTGCAGCTTCATAGAAAGCTGTGTGTTTAGAAATGCTAGAGGACCAAGAGCTCTACCGCTGGCCATTCAGTGACTAGGTGTGTGATTTTCTAAATATAAATGTGGGCAGGAGCCCTAATATGCGACTAAGATCTGCTTCTGGACTTGGGTAGTGGGCTAGGGGAGCTAGTAGAGGTAGTTGAAATCTTTTAAAAGGGGTAAAGACAACCAATAATATGCATAATCAGAACATAAATTTGTTCGCGATATAAACGATTTATAAAACTTAAAGGATAAAGGATAAAAATTAAGGAATAAGAAACACAAAAAGTAAAGTCAGAGCAATTCTGTAAGGCTAATGTCAGAAATAATCATTTTTCAGGATTTTTATAAACAAGGAAATCATTTCTTATTTAGGTTGCCAACCTTTTGTTTTGCTAGTTTTTAAACATAAACCTTTCGTAATAACCTGTTCTTAACAAAATGCAACATGACATAGTTTTATTCATTTATGTATTTGCTCATCAGACAGATGGGGTTTCAGAGCTCTAACTTTCAAAATCTTTATACATGCCTTCTTTAAAAAAGCCTTGATTGCTTGAGGTAGCCAGATAAGTAATATAAGTGGGAGCTGGTTTAGTGACTACTTTCATATTCCATACACCTGGGAAAAAAGTCAACATGAATTTTAAGTGTATATATGTTTGCTTTTTGTTTCTTTTTGTGTCTAGTAAAAATACTGGTGAAATGCAGTGAAGTAAATGCTTTTCTGATTCTAATGTTAACATTTTTTTTTCTTCAGTGGATTTGGCATGATAACATGCAGTTTCTCCAAGACAAAAATATTTTTGAACATACATATTTTGGGTAAGTTTAGTAAATGTTTGTAATAGATATTTTGTTAAACATTTTTTTAAAATATTGTCCTATGAGAATTTTAACTTTTTATTTTTAAATTCTAGGTTTATGTGGCAGTTGTGTAGCTGTATTCCCAGTACTTTACCAGATCCTAAAGCTGTGTCCCTAATGACAGCAAAGGTAATATAAACACCTTAGATAATTTTTTCAAAATTGACTACTTTAAAATAATTAAACCTTTACTTAATTTTGTCTTTTCTTGCAGTTAAGCACTTCCTTTGTCCTAGAGACATTTATTCATTCAAAAGAAAAGGTATTCAATTTTGGGAACTTTGTGTCATTTATCATATATCTTTGGTTTTCATTCTTTAACTCAGGAGTCCTTAATGCCTTGAGTGATTTTTATTCTTTCTTTTATTTTTAGCCCACAATGCTTCAGTGGATTGAACTGTTAACCAAACAGTTTAATAACAGTCAAGCAGCTTGTGAGGTAAGGTAAATAATTCAACAAACAATGTACTGTTTTCTTGTATTCTTAACTTAGATGATGTAGAAAAATTATTTTATATATTATAAATCATAGGGAGTACAGTATAAGTTTTTACATTATTTGATAGATGAGAGTTATAGTTTATGTATTAAATCTGTTATACTGATTAAATTATTTTTAAGTTATTTAAAATCCTTGTTTTCTCCCCCCATGTATTAGAAGGAAAAAGTATAGAAAACTCAACACTGTACCAGACATTTCATAACTACTTTTGCATGTTATCAGTAAATACTTAAAAATGCATCTTTCCTCCATCTTTGAGATAAAAATGTATATATCCCAGTAGATCACTTTATGTTCAATTTTGTCTCCTCCAACATTGCATTATAAGAGACATTACTAAGGGTAATCAGCCCATACATAGATAATGATCACTTAACTATATTGCCATCTTATTATCATTTATCATTTTTTATTATCTCCCAAAGTGGTGTAAACCTTCCTAGGAATGCAACTCTTACAATTTCTAGAGGTGAGAAATAGCAGCATAGTATGCAATAGATTAAATTAGTTGAAGATTTTTTTTTTTTATATATAGAAAGTCATCCAATAATGCCTTGGAGCAATGGAACAAGAGAATCTGGTTATTGTAAATTTCAAACAAAAGCATAACTTTTGAAACTTTAAAATGAACCTTGCAAAATATGCACAAAAGTAGAAAGATACGGTGAACTCTCGTGTACCTGTCACTCAGTTTCAACAAATACTAAGTTTTTTTATCTTTATCTTATCCTCCACGTGTTTTTCAGCTGAATTATTTTAAAGCAAACCTAGGTACCATTTCATACATACTCAGTATGTATCTCTAATAGATGAGAACTTTAAAAATACAACCAGAGTTTCATTCACTCCTAGTAAAATTTGAAGCAATTCCTCATTGTCATCCAATACCCATTTTGTGTTTGGTTTTCTCTGATTGTCTAAAAATATTTTTTTCAGTTGCTGGTTTAAAGGAATTAGGATTCACACAAGCTGCACGTTTTGTTTTTGTTTTATAAATCTCTTTTCAGCTATAATAGTCTCTGTTTTCTCTCACCACTTCGTCATTTATTCTATAGGATTTTCCACATTCTGGCTTTGGTTGCATCTTTCTGGTGTAATTTTAAAAGTTCCTCTGTTCCTTTCCTGCTTCCTGATTTTTTTTCTTTTAATTTTTTAATTTTGATATCATTAATGTATAAATGCTTGAACAACATTATGGTTACTAGACTCCCCCTATTATCAAGTCCCCCCACATACCCCATTACAGACACTGTCCATCAGCGTAGTAAGATGCTATAGAATCACTACTTGTCTTCTCCATATATACTGCCTTTCCCGTGCCCCCACCTCTACATTATGTGTCCTAATCGTAATGCCCCATTACCCCCTTATCCCTCCCTTCCCACCCACTCTCCTCAGTCCCTTTCCCCTAGGTAACTGTTAGTCCATTCTTGGGTTCTGTGAGTCTGCTTATGTTTTGTTCCTCCAGTTTTTTCTTTGTTCTTATACCCCACAGATAAGTGAAATCATTTGATACTTGTCTTTCTCTGCCTGGCTTATTTCACTGAGCATAATACCCTCTAGCTCCATCCATGTTGTTGCAAATGGCAGGATTTGTTTTCTGATTTTTTTTTTAATCGAGTGATAGATCCAGAGGTTTGATTAGGTCCTAATTTATTTGTTTTTTGTTTCTTTTTTAAAAATTATTTTTATGGAACGCTTCACAAATTTGTGTGTCATCCTTGCACAGAGACCATGCTAGTCTTCTCTGTATCATTCCAATTTTAGTATATGTGCTGCCAAAGCAAGCACTTGTTTTTTGTTTGTTTGTTTTTTAAATTGCCACTTTATTTTTTTCCCTAAGGATTTGCCTTTGGAACTCTCAAAAATTCTGTGCAGTTGTCAGTAATTGTATGCATACAGGCAGTGCAATTCAATAGAGTTAAATATGTGATTAAGAGATGTATTGAAATCAAATGGGAAATTATTTAGGATAAAAAAGGGTGTTTTTTTAATCAAGAAAACAGTTAGCTTTTAAGCAGAAAGAAAGTGAATCACTCTCAGACCATATATTACTAATAGGAAAAAAGTGTGACATTTATGAGGTCTAAGATGAAAATAGTATTTCATTTTATTATGAAAAGGATTGCAGGTTAACGTGTAGGGCGTACATTCTGATGTAAATGGCATCCCTGGAATTCTGTAATGAAATGGCCCTGATTATGACTGTAGGCATTCTAGGTTTTGGGGCTTTCTAATAATTGAAGAATCTGTTTTGGTAAGAACTTAATTTAATACCAACTAGAAGTAAAATCCTTATGTGATTTTTATCTCACTTAACAAATATTGGTTGAATGTTAAAATGACACTAATTTTTTGCAGTGGTTTTTAGACCGCATGGCTGATGATGACTGGTGGCCAATGCAGATACTGATTAAGTGCCCTAATCAAATTGTAAGACAGGTAAGAAAAAATTTATTTGAAAAAGAGGTGGCATTCAAGTTAATTGTTCTAAATTTGCCTGTGAATTTCTTAACCCAGCACTGAAAGTAGTTTGAAAAGATCTACCACAACCTCTTACATAAAAGTCATTTTGCTGTTGTTTTCAGTAGCTTCTTTTAGCAAATCAAGTATCACTCCAATCAAGTGATTAAAATCATTTGTATTTCCTGAATGTTAGGAAAGTAGCTATAATCACCTACTCTCTTAGATCCTACTGTTGGCTGCTTTATGAGTTATACTGTATTCCTTTCAGATGCTTAGATATTCTTAACGTGTAAGATACTGTAATGATACCTTGAAAGTTAAATGAGTAGTATATAATTAATTTCTATGACGAATTCTGAACTGTCCCATAAATCAGTTTGTTTTCCTTAAATAATTGGAAAAATTAGGGAAAATGTAAATATTACTTTATATTCACTTACGATATAAACCAAAAACTTAAGCTTAAAATGCTACTTTCCCGTTATCGAGATATAATTCTTACAGAATTCACCAAAACCTTTCAAAGTGTAAAGTTTAGTGGTTTTTAGTATATTCCCAAACTTAACACACCCACCATCTAGTTTTATAACATACCAAAAAGAAACCCCATACTTATTAGTACTTACTCCCCATTTTATCCTGTCCCTTCTCTCCACCTTTGGCAACCACTAATTTTCTGTGTCTGTGGATTTACCTATTCTGATCATTTCATACAAGTGGAATTATACAGGAGGTGGTCTTTTGTGACTGACTTCTTTAATTTAGCAGTCTTTTCAAGGTTTATCCATGTCATAGTGTGAATCTTTTTTTCATTTCTTTTTGCCAAATAATATTCTATTGAATGGCTGTACCAAATTTTGTTTATCCGGTTCAGCAGTTGATTAACTTTCGGGATTTTTCCATGTTGGGACTACTTAGAATAGTGCTGCTTATGAACATTCATATACAAATACTTGTGTGGATGTATATTTTCAGTTTTTTTTAGCTATATACCTAGGAGTGGAATTCCTGGGTCATATGGTCACACTATGTCTAATGTTTTTAGGAACTACCAAACTGTTTCTCTTAAGTGTCTGACCCAGTTTACATTCCCATCAGCAATCCATGAGGGTTACAGTTTTGCTTCAACTTTTGTTACTGTCTGTTTTATGGTAGTCATCCTCATGGGTGTGAAGTAGTATCTCAGTGTGGTTTTGGTTTGCATTTCCCTAATAATTATATTGAACATCTTTTCATGTGCTTATTGGCTGTTTGTATACCTTATTTAGAGAATGTCCAGTGATTTTTAATCCATGTTTCTTAATGGGTAAACTTACATATTTCCTTTTCCTATGCTTTGACTCTGATAAGCAGCTATCCTGCCCCCACTCCACTGTTTTAAAAAAATGGATGCTAAATTTTCTTTTCCCTGTATTTCCACTAGTTGAGAGAGGGTTTTGTGAAGCTTTGTTTTTGGTGAACTATTACTGAAACCTACAGTTTGTTCTGTTTTTTTCCCTTATTGTAAAACTGAATAATATTTTTCAAGCTAACCTTGCTTTATATTTTCAGTCTGTACTTGATACTCCATAAAACCTTTAGAATGTCAAAAGGTAAATTAGCGGGCAAAATGTAAATGGATGGCAGATAATTTTAAATCATATTAACTTTTTAGTGTCTTTGTGTGAGTTACTCTTAAGTTGTTATATCTTTTCATTTATAGATGTTTCAGCGTTTGTGCATCCATGTGATTCAGAGACTTAGACCTGTGCATGCTCATCTCTATCTACAGCCAGGAATGGAAGATGGGTAAGAAGTACCATTTGAACATTATATTTTTAAGCTTTTTGATGATCTGTCTACAAAGTATTTTTAGATATCCACACTGAAATATTTAGGTTCTTCTAGTTAAAAGTAGTCTGTAGTAATACAAGTCAAGAAGGAAAAACTTTGATTTCTAACTAAGTGCATCTTCAAAATCCTCTATAAATAACTTCATGACTTAATCTTTTTGTCTAATTTAGCTAGATACAATAACTGCAATTGAATTACTTGTATTACTATAAATGATGTTCATTTTTACAAAGATGAAAGAGATTGGTTCAGGTTTTTTAAAACATTTCTTCTCCCAGAATGTTTATCCCCAGACTTCATATGATATCTAAGATACATTAAATTGTGTCTTCAGGTCAGATGATATGGATGCCTCAGTAGAAGACATTGGTGGTCGTTCATGTGTCACTCGATTTGTGAGAACTCTGTTATTAATTATGGAACATGGTGTAAAACCTCACAGTAAACATCTTACAGAGTATTTTGCCTTTCTTTACGAATTTGCGAAAATGGGTGAAGAAGAGGTGAGGTTATATCTTATTTCTGGGATTGTGTAAATATTTTCAGTATTTAAAACTTGGTTATTCTTTTTTTATATTTTACATCAATATTTTTATTTTTAGAGCCAGTTTTTGCTTTCATTGCAAGCCATATCTACAATGGTACATTTTTACATGGGAACCAAAGGGCCTGAAAATGTAAGTAAAATTCTGTCTCATATCAGGGACTTAGGGGCCATGGTTTCAAGTTGTATCGTGGAAAGTCATTAGATATTAGAACCCTTTAAAGTCTCTTCTAGCACTGATATTAGATAATTTGAAGGGTCTGAGTTGGAGTGATATTTTTAGTCAATATAGCAGGAGAAGAAACTAATAACAGATTTCCCTGGTAAGGCCCTGCACCAAAGCAAATAAATTCAGGTGAAATGGCCACCACCTACTTTAGGGTCCTGTCAATAGAGTATTGTTTTGGTGAACATTTTGTTGACCATGTTTTTTAAGCTTTCTATATTAAGTTTGTCAGAGTCTTCCAAAACCTTAAGCAGCTGGTCTATTCATAATATTAAAGTATTACATGAATTTTGTGTTGTTTTTACTGATCACATTGGATTGGATGCTCTATTTGCACTCTCTTATTTAATCCTGTTGCAGCCCTAAGAGGTAAGTACTATTGTTACCTCTAATGACGGATGAGGAACTGGAGACACATAAGAAGTCAACTTGTTTTATATCACATTGAGTTGGGTTTTGATCTTTGGACAGACTCCTGAGACAAACTATTAGCCACTGTGTTGTAATGCTTCTCAGAATACGGACTGTATCTAGTATCTAATTCCAGTCTACATGGCTACTTGTTTAAAGTGCCTTTCTTTTACTTTGTTAGAGCATAAAATCTTTTCATTCTCTTGCATTTCAAAATTCACCTGAATATCTCTTTAAAATACCCACCATTTGGATTATCTGAAAACTACAAATAAGAATTCCTTGATTTGTAAAACTGGCATTTTTATTAAATAGGAAATACTATTTTATCATACTTATATAAATTTTGATCCTGATTTATCTTCCTGTGGGATCACCTATAAGAAAAAAAATTATTAAAGGATTTATCCCTTAGACAAGGTGAATAGTCACACTATTGAAAGTCTTTGTTCTTAATAGTTCTGCTGATTAAGTAAGTCTAAAATTGTCCTAAATTTGGTTCAGACTTTAAAGTTAGGGTCAGGTCTTTGAGTGATTGTTTTTCATGTTACGTGCTTCTGCCACCAACCCTGGATAGTTATATAAAACAACTTATTTGCTCTTAAGATGATGTTAAATCTAATATCATATTAAAATTGAATCTTGTTCTACTTTAGCCTCAAGTTGAAGTATTGTCAGAGGAAGAAGGGGAAGAAGAGGAGGAGGAAGAAGATATCCTTTCCCTGGCAGAAGAAAAATACAGGCCAGCTGCCCTTGAAAAAATGATAGCTTTAGTTGCTCTTTTGGTTGAACAGTCTCGCTCAGAAAGGTGAAATGTTTCAACATTCAAAATGCTTAAAGCATGTTTGATTTTATTCCTTTTACATAATTGTTTTACCACTATTAACTCAGTAGCTTTTGTTACATAATTTCTTTTAAATAATAACATCACTATTCATCAACTCTTGTGGATAAGTATTTCAATTCTTTGTACCAGACTCTTACTTTGCCTCCAAGTCATGTTAGAAACACATTGAAGAAATATACAGTAAAATATTCAGCAAAATTATATGTGCAGTCATCCTTTAATCTAACCCCACTTCTAGGAATCTGTCCCCAAAATACAGAAAGATGTATGTGCAATGCTATTTATTAAAGCAGTGATTGTAATAGTGAAAGACTGGGATTTGTCCACTAAAAGGGGATTAATTGGAAAAAAAAAAAGCGGGATTCACTGATAGCTGAAAAAGGGGAAGTGTTGAATATATCTGTAATCCATGGAGAGATCTTAAGGATAAATATTAATAAGTAAAAACAAGGTTGAGAAAAGTTTATATAATGCTACTTTTAAAGAAAGGGAAGGCTATGAGAGAGAGTGTGTGTATGTATGTGTGTGTACAGCGAACACTCATCATTCATGGATCTCCTGTTTGCAAATTTTCCTATGTAAGAATGTATGTATAGTCCCAAAATCAGTACTCAGAGCTTTTATAGTCATTTGTGAAATGCAGAATGTACATGTGCACATTGGCAAAAAAATTCGAGTTGTCTGACACATACTTTCCCAGTTGAGGTCAAACATGGTAACAACTGCCTCTTGTTTGAGTTCTCATGTTGTAAAAAAAATGTCCTTTTCATGGTATATGTCATGTTTTCACATTTATGCTATTTGTTGATGATTTAGCTATTGCAAATGACCCCCAAGTGTAGTGCTAAGTGCTGTCCAGTATCCTAAGCTCAAGAAGGCCATAATGTGTCTTAGGGGAAAATGGACATATGTGAAATACATTTCATTCAGGTACGAGTTATAGTGCCATTTACTATAAGTTCAATGCTAATTAACCAATAATATATATTAAATAAGCTATCTTTAAACAGAAACACACATAAAACAAGGTAACATTAATTGGTTGATGAAACTGTTATGACCAATGACCATAAGCTCAAAGGAGCCTAACTATATTCCCCTGCAAGCAGTGAACCAGTATTCACGAACTTGGTGTTTGCAGCAATTTTAGAACTGTAAAATTGGAGACTAAATCAAAAACCTACAAAAAGTTCCCTATGGTTGGGGGAAGGAAAAACAGGCTGGAGGGGACAGGAATAAAAGCTTGACTCCTTTGAATATACATTGTTTGGGGTTTTTTTAGATTTAACTTTGGAATCATGTAAATGTTTTATATAATTATAAATGAATTAATAAAATGCAATCCCTAAAAATCAAAAGTAGACTCAAATAAATGAACCTAACTATATATATTGAGCTTGTGTCATAGCCACTGGAGGGGAATTGATTACAGTAACTTTATAATACATTAATATAACTGTAAATTCCTAGAGGGATGTACATGAAGGACATGAATTGTAAAATTATCCTAAATTGTCTTACTAATAATATTGTTAGTAGTACAATTGGAGTTATTATTCTGAAACTATATTATAGAATAAAGCAAATTAGTAATTGTCAATGTCATTAGAAACCAAGATTTTCAGCAAAAGAAAAACTAAATACAAATATAAAATTACAGGGTTTTTACATAACTTACTTAAAACTAAATTTGAATTTGGAAATATCAGAGTTCATGGTGTATTTTTTCTTAAGCAAACGAAAAAATGTGTTTACATACTTCTATTTTCTGAAAAGACCTAGAAATCCTGTCCAACATAGAGTTAATGCATGATCCTGTCATCTAGATTATAGTCTGTAGGTAAAATTTCTCACTGGAAAAAAAAAACCAGGAGTTCCTTGAAAAAATGGCCAATTCCAGGTTTGGGGCAAAAAAAATGTATGGGAAGCCTAGAATGTTTGTCATTTTGGAAAGCATGGAGGCTATCAGAGATTACTGAGGTCATGTTAAAAAGACTGCAGAGCCAACTTAAGGAAGTTTCTACTTGTCATAGATTGGACAACCTGAGCGTCAGTAATAGTAAGAATAACTACACATGGGCCAGAACACATCACAGATGTTTCAATCCATGAGTTCATAGCAATACTTAAAAACAAAAACACTTATGGGGGAAGTTTATTGTCATAGAGGTGTTGGAGCCAATAAATGAGCAAGTAATGTTGGAATTAGAATATCAATATTTTGCATCCCAAATGAAAAATGAATCTAGGAAATGATCATCATTGGCTGAAAATGTTATAGAAAGACAACTTTTCATTGTGTGCCTACTGATGAAAAATCCAGACCACCATATAAAAGCACTGTTGATTAAAAAGTCAAACATAGATTTGATCAAGACTATAGAGCCTACCAGCAGTTTACAGGAAATATGGGGACAGAAGAACATGTTAAAGCATCATCACAAGGATACAATCAGCAAAATGGAAATGTGGGAAATACTACAGGATACATACCACCTGATGTCATCAACTGATAAATTGCAAGATAAAACAACTTGGAGGGAAACCAGTAGTCTAAAAGAGATTTAAAAAGACATTTCAACCAATTGCAGCAAAGGACTTTATTTGGATCCTGATACAAGCAAATTATAAGATTTTTTTTTTTTAGGAACTTGAGGAAATTGTATACTGGGTATTGTATGATAGGAATTGTTGATCTATTTCAGGTGTGAATAATGATAGTGTTGTTATGTTTTTGAAATTTATCTGTTAGAGATACGTACCAAGACTTACGGATTAAATGATAAAATACCTGTAATTGCTTCAGAACAGTCCATACTGAATGAATAGGAGATAGAAATGAAACGAGACTGGCCATGAATTGGTAATTTGAAGCGAGAGTGATGGGGATATCTACACTGTTTTTTCTGTTTTTGTATGTGTCTGAACTTTTCTAAGATAAGTTAAAAAAAGAAATATGGAGTATTTTTAAACTGTGAAGTGAAACTCTCTAGTGTGTCTTAGAAGTTCATTTTGTTTTGAAGGTTCTCATGTCAAAAAACTCTAAATTAGACCCATCCTAGTGTTATATACAAGTATTGCATTAATTAAATGGAAACACAAAAATATTGAGGTAATGGAAATAAGGTAGATTTGGGCCTCCATGTATCAATCCTGGAATCATGAAAAATTGTCTAAAAGATGTTTAGCAAGCAAGTCCAGCTAGCAGAAAGTTAAAAAATAGTTCTAAAAAAATGGCAGCTTGGTACAATTGTAACTGAATTAGCAATTTTGATGCTTGTTATGATACGAATAACTATAAAATAGCACAGAAGTAAGAAAAACTTATTTACACTAATATTTTCTTTCAGGCATTTGACATTATCACAGACTGACATGGCCGCATTAACAGGAGGAAAGGTAATACTTTCTCTATATTTGAGAATTTGCTGTTGACAAAAATAATAACAGTTCATAAATGACCAACTTTTGCTTTTGACAGGGATTTCCCTTCTTGTTTCAACACATTCGTGATGGCATCAATATAAGACAAACTTGTAATCTGATTTTCAGTCTATGTCGATACAATAATCGACTTGCGGAACATGTAAGTGCTGACAAACAGTCCTAGAGATTTTTGCTAACTTTTAAAAGAAGATTCTGAAATTCTCCTTATCTGTTTTAGATTGTATCCATGCTTTTCACATCAATAGCTAAGTTGACTCCTGAGGTATGTAGACATTTGTGAATCCATATTTTTAAAACTATCCACTTACAGTGCTTCTAGATGAACCTTTCTAATTGTTCTTGAAAACAATTTATCATAAGGTTTCCCCCTATAACATGACAACCTATTTTTGAGTATATAATTTGAATAAATTGAATCACCTCTTCATGTGTTATTATTATAATTATCATTTCCCAAACATATAAATTCAGTATATCGTAGTGCCACCTAGATACTAAGCTTTAAAGTTGTTTGATTCATATATCATGATTGTGCCCAAGAAAAAAATAGACTAACCAGAACTCTGTATAGGTAAAGAAATATGTGGAAAATAGAATACAGTACTGTACAAAAGTACTTTTGTAAAACGGAAATGTTATAGCTACATTTACAATACATGTCAAATATTAATATAAATTACAACTCAGATCGAAGATTGTTACAGGAAACTTTTCATTTGAATTTTTCTATAAATATGATTATCTCAATAACAAAAGTTTTAATTTTTTTTCCAAATTAACATGTAGAAAAATACATGTTCTCTGTTACATGTGGCTTTCATGCACTTTGTATCCCCAGCTGATCCTGCTGCTTTATGGTAGTTCAAGTTCATATGCCAGGACTACTGAGCTCTGTTAACCTAACAGCAGATTTAAATGATATGCAGAAGAACTTTATTTTTCACTGAAAGAGATGGGTTCAAATATATATAAATGCACAGTCATGTATTTTTCTTACAGGCAGCCAATCCTTTCTTTAAGTTGTTGACTATGCTAATGGAGTTCGCTGGTGGACCTCCAGGAATGCCTCCCTTTGCATCTTATATTCTACAGAGGATATGGGAGGTAAATCTTGGAGCAGATGTTTCAGTATTTTTTTCCCCAGAATTTTATTCTTCTAATACAGTCACTACTGTTTTAAGTACCACTTTCTTCTTGGGTAACCCAAAATTGTTTTAGTAAGTTACAGTAAAGGGAAGAAGAAACACTTCTTAGAAAGTTTGGGGCCAAAACGAGTTCTTGGCTAGTCTCCCAGATGTTTAAAAGAATTTTTCATAGAGTCATTAACAGCCATCAGTCAATCCAAGTTTCTCATTTCTCTGCCCTCAAAAAAGATTCTGTAAAACTATAAACCAAGTGTGTCTTCAGCAATTCACAGAAATGATAGAGCAAGCATCAGCCACTTAATTTCTTCCAGAATTACTTCTGAGGTCACAGAATTTCTCATTTAGTAAGCATTGGAAAAATCCACTCTAAACCAGAGGTCAACAAACTATTAACAGGTAGGCAGTAAATATTTGTCTTTGTGGGCCACATGATCTCTGTCAAACCATTTAACTGCTGTTTTGGCATAAAACCAGCCATAGACAATATGTAAGTGAGTGGACATGGCTGTTTTCCAGCAAAAACTTAACGAAAGCAGGCAAACCACAGAATCTGGCCTGTGAGCCCTAGTTTTCTGACCCCTATTCTAGATCCCTAAGATTCCCTTTTACTATGCAAAAAAAAACCCCAGCAACGTGGTCAGCAGTTTTTCATTCTCATTTATAGTAAGAAATTGGGTAAGCAATAAGACAAAGATAAGAAACTTCAGAGAATTAAAAGCACTTTTAAGTAAACTTAAAAAACCTAACAAGACCTAAGTCACTGGATTCTCTTACTGGTCCTGTATTAGAGTCCTTGATTATTTTAATTTTACTTTATAAACTAAAAACAAATTTTCTAAACATTTCCTGTTCTAGAAAAGTGAGTAGCTATAAAAATGGGAAAAAACATGGTTGGAACATCTTGTAGGCTCTGGTTTTCACAAAACTGTTTTGGCTTTAAGTGTTTAATGGCAGATACCAAAAGTAAGTAAAAAAGTAACTGCCCATTTTGTTGGCCTTATATTCTGTACTTGTCATTTTATTTGTAGGTAATTGAATACAATCCTTCTCAGTGTCTGGATTGGTTGGCAGTGCAGACACCCCGAAATAAACTGGCACACAGCTGGGTCCTACAGAATATGGAAAACTGGGTCGAGCGGTTTCTTTTGGCTCACAATTATCCTAGAGTCAGGACTTGTAAGTCAAGTATTGAGAATTTAACAAACCATTTGTTAATGTTCCAAGTTTTGTTTTGTTTTCAAGGCAACCACAGTGTGCCTGCCCATTGTTGTATAACACAAAGGCTTTTGGAGGTACTGTTCCTGAAGGCCAAAGTTCTATCGGTATTTGGAAACCTATGGCAATGTTTAACAGAAATCTATAGTGTGTTTGGTTTTTTAAGGATAGGAAACAATGTTCTTTCTTGAGTGACACCACTACCACTACCTTTTTTGTTTGCTTGCTTGATAGAATTTTCTAGCCCTTTTACTCTCTTCACTAATGCTGACCATGCTGTGTCACTCTATCTTAAAAGTAACTTGAGAAGGCCCAAAGTAAGGTAATAAAAGTGGTAAAGCTGAGAGAAGATATTCACTGAAATTATGAGAGTTAAATGATAAATGCCTTTATTGTACACAGGTTGGAGGGGAATAAACAAAGACCTTGGAAGATTGATAGACACATACCAAAAATAGATTATTTCACAGAATAGAAAATTGCTTGTAAATCAACATTGAATACTATCAAAAGACAAAAGTCAAAATAAAATTTTAATTCATTAATCATTAAAATCATATATCCTAAGCTGTCTGCTGAGAGGGCCTAGAATCAATGACACGACAGTAGCAACAAGCACACTGAATACCCAGATTTCTGTTTCTAAACACCATTCTCCAGTAAAATGAATTGCAGCTTCTTGTAGACATAGCTGATCCTAGGACTGGGCAGGGAATATACAAGATGAGCCCAGAGCATCTTGTAGTATCAGAAAGTAAAGAAGTACTCGAGACAAAGTGATAGGGGTATGTCAGAGAGACACAGAACCAACCTGAAAGAGCTCCAAATGGCCAAGGCTGGAATAATTGCAATTTTAAAAAAGATAGTAACAGCACTGGATTGTCTCCCAAAATTTAAATATCCATAAGTCCATACTGATATAAATAAATGATTGTGTAAATACATATATGGAAAAGAGACAAATCTCCCATACAGAAGAATCCTAAATAATTTTATTCATCCTCCACCCTTAAGTGTGAGCTTAGTGACTTGCTTTCAAAGGATAGAGTATGTGGGATAGTGAAAGTAACTTTAAGTGAAGAAACTTAACAAACATTAACTCAGTCAAGTGATTAAGGGTTAATATTGTCACTGATAAGTCATGTTGATAGCATGTACCCTTGATGTAATATGATGCAAAGGGCACTTCACCTATGTGGTCTTCCTCCCAAAAATCCACAAGCTGAATCTGAGTCTAAGCATGATTGATTAACATCAGACAAACTCAGTTTGAGGGACATTCTACAAAAATACCTGACCAGTACTCTTTGAAGCTACTAAGGTTATCAAAGCAAGGAAAGTCTGAGAAACTGTCACAGATAAGAGCTTAAGGAGACATGGCAAAACTAAATGTAATGTATCCTAGAACCAAAATAAAAGAACATTAGGACAAAACTAATGAAATCTTAAGTGTGGAGTTCAGTAACAGTAATATGCCAGTGTTAATTCCTTAGTCACAACAAATACACCATGGTAATAATAGATGTTAACAATAGGGGAAATGGGGAGAGGGTGTGTGGGAACTAACTGTCTGTTCTACCTATTCTATAAAAGGTTTATTTGGGAAAAACACCTTTCAGTGGTGGTTACACATGGATTGGGATTGGTATCCTCCTCAGAGACTTGTTTTTCCTGCCAGTTTAGTTAACCCCACAGGAATGGGATATTTTTAAGAGCAGACACCCTATGCTGGTCAGCATTCGTGTCTTGACTCCTGACTATAAAAAACCTATGCCAAAAAAAGTGTTTGAGCTAGCTGTTACACCTAATACTCATGACAGTGCTGAGGAAGAAGCATTCTCATACACTGCAGTGACATTCTAAATTACTA